AAAAAATCATCACTGGAACCTGCTCCACAGCATTACCGAAACACAAACCGCCAACATGCCTACTTTCGTGGTGGGAGACACCAACGCACGCTTGCATGGAAGAGTCAGCGGATTGGAAGAAACGACTGTTGGTAGTCATGTGTTTGGTTGGGGAAACTTTTTTGTAGATTAGCTTTCTGATGAGCAAAGAGAAAACCGACAGTTCCTTATTGATTTTTGCACTGCCAATGAATTCATTGTATCCAATACATTTTTCATAAAACCTGATGAATGTAAATGCACGTGCAAGGGCACAAGAACAAATGGTTTTGTAGGTCCTTGGACCCCAGATAGGTTTGCGCAGATCGATTTGATACTCGCCTCCAAACAATGGAGAAATGCGATTTCAGACGTGCACGCCCATACGAATATTGCCTTTGATAGCGATCATGTTTTCGTCACGGCTGATGTTAGAATAAAACTCAGTGTCTCAAAACAACCGGAGAAGGGAAATGGTAGATCAAAACGATATTTCAACCCAACACAGGAGCAAGTTGACAACTATAACCAACATTTTCAATCGAATTTCATCTTCAAACAGGATCCTTTGGAAGATAAATTGGGTAACTGTAGCTCCTTTGTGACCGTAATGAAAGAAGCAGCCCAATCACACTTTCAAGCGAAAAGTTCACGACAAAATCGAGAATATCTGTCTGGTCACACCTGGCAGTTAATCCAAAGCAGACAAGAGGCTAGGTTGAGAAGTGACTATCAAACTGAGAACCTGCTGAATCGTGAAATTAAAAACCATGCTCGGAAAGATAAAATGACTTGGAGAACCGACAAACTTGCAGATCTGACCGACACAAAAAATGCTTGGAAACAGATCAGATTTGAAAAGCAAGCTTTCACTCCTAGATTTTACGATTTAAAGGATATTAGAGGGAACCGTGTGCCGATCTCAAAAAAGGCGGATGCCATGGCAGAGTATTTGTTTGAAAAGCAATGGGGACTTATGACCACTTCGCCACCAGCAGACCCTTCACGCAATAATCTTTTCAACCAGAACTTTCCTTTCAATGTTGACCTCATTTCAGGCATTGAAATCCGACAAGTTGTTTCGAAACTCAAGACCAACAAAACTGCAGGCCCTGATGGAACCATAACCGAATTGTTTAAATTGTTAAATGATGATAATCTTGAAACTTTTACTAAATGTTTAAATGTTTTCTGGGCAGAGCAGAGAGTCCCTGACAGTTTCACGCAAGCGCATGTGTGTTGCTTACACAAAAAAGGAGCGCACGACAATCCTGAAAACTATCGTCCAATCTCCCTGCTCAATACTTGCTATCAGGTTTTCGCTGGAGTTATTCAAGTTCGACTCGCGTCTATCTTAGAAAATTACATCGGGGACACACAATATGGTTTTCGCTCTAAACGATCAACTGCTGAACCGCTTTACTGCGTGCACCGTCTGACAGACTTTGCAGAACAAGGGCATGACCCGCTCTTTTTAATTTTCCTAGATTGGGAGAAGGCCTTCGGTAGAATCGACCATGAAAAGATGTTTCTACCACTCTCGCGGCTAGGAATCCCCCAAACCATTATTGATAATATCAAAAGCCTGTACCAGAATCCAACCTTCAAAGTGATGCAAGGGATCCACGAAAGCGAATGGCAAAAACAGAGGACAGGAATAAGACAAGGATGTCCATTAAGTCCCTACCTTTTTATTTTAACTATGCATGTTATGTTTCATGATGTGAAGGAACAGTTCAACGACCCTCGACATCAAAAAACTTTTCAAAATATCAACTTCCAAGAACTGCTGTATGCAGACGACACTCTAATCATAGCCAAAAGTGCTAAGACTGCCAACGCATATTTGCATCTGATCGAACAAGAATCAGAATATCTGCATCTAAAGCTGAATCATGATAAATGCAATTATATAAGTTTCAATACCAACGTCGGCAGCATCAAATTTCGAAATGGAACCATGATGAAGTCAACGACGGAAGCCAAATATTTAGGCGCTGTTATTAATGATAAAGCTGATCCCGCACAGGAAATAAGACGACGAATCTCGAGCACCATGCCAATTTTGAAACGCTTTGATATTTTTTGGAACAAAACGAACTGCAGCAAAAGTTGGAAATTACTAGTTTACAACTCCGTTATCATTAGTAGACTACTTTACGGCTTAGAATCACTTCAAACTACAGACAATACAGGGAAACTGCTGAATACTTTTTAGCTTAAAAGCTTGAGAAAAATATTGCGCCTGCACACCACGTACGTAGATAGAAACAATTCTAATGAATTCGTTTACCAACGAGCAAATGAACTAGTTGGTGCTCCTTCTCAGGGGCCTCTACGCAAAATCAGACCTTTGACTGAAATTTTGGAAACGAAACGTCTCAAACTACTTGGGCATGTGCTGAGAAGACCGCGGTCCCACCCTCAGCATCAAGTCACTTTTGCTTCCTATTTAGCTTTACCAAAAACCCCATCCAATCGAAGAGTCGGCAGACCCAGAAAAAACTGGACTATTGAAAACATGAAACTGGCTTTCAACATACTGAAGGCTAATGATAATGGACTACCAAACCTCAACTTTGATCATCGAACCCTAATCATTCGCGAAGCGCTCATCGATGCAGCAAGGGCTTATAAACCCCCTTTCAACTGATCACAGATTTTGGTGTGATCAAACTCGTTTTGAACGATACTCTGTGTGAACGAACTCTATGTGAAACGTCTGCAATCGAACTCGTTTTGAACGCTACTCTGTGTGAAAAAACTCTATGTGAAATGTCTGCGCGTGATGCGCCATGCACGGAATCCAATAAATAGTTACTTGCCAATTACTCCTCTGCAGAACGATACATGTACATAAACTCCTGTTTACTAGTAGAGTTTTGTACAGTTTGCTGTCTTCAAATTTCACCTTTGCGTAGACTGATTCTCCTTCCGCCTGATTTTGCCCCTCCATAATCATTCGAACAGCAGGGTAGGGCCAACGGCCGTAAGTCGCGAACTAAATCGGCTTTGGCAAAAAAAATAAAATAAAATAAAATTGTCTATGTACTTGTTCATGGCTGTTTTGGACTTGTTTGACACGTCATTTTGGGCTCTTAGCTGAACACTTTGATGTCAGTAGCAGTGTTCAGCGATGTTCACAACGACACCATTTTAATTCAAACATGGTAAAACATTCCAACCAAAAAACATACATGTGAACACAAAACAATCAACAATAAAAACCACCGTGAACATCAAACACATGTTAGACCCAATAGCAATAACAGCAACAACAACAACGACAACAATAACCATAACAATAACAATAGCAATAACAATAACAATAACAATAACAATAACAATAGCAACAACAATAACAGTAACAGTAACAGTCACAGTAGCCATAACCATAACCGTGACCATGACCATAACCATAGCCACAACCATACCATAGCACTTCGCTGAAATATAACAATAACAACTATAAACATGAACGCAACAACAGGAACAACAAAAAAATAACAAACCACAACATTAACCAGCAAAAACAAAAATGAACACGCGGCTAGAACATAGGTTGCTTGCCGTCCGTTGCCTTTTTCAGGAGCCACCCCAGAATGACCTGTGGGTATGTTTATCCGCCATGTTTGATGTGAGGAAAATTGTTCGAAACAAACCAAAATAACCTAAAACCAACTTCAAACATTTATTTGGGACCAGCATGTGGCCGTACCTGGCCGAATACAAAACCAAAAAACAATTTGCACCGTGTCTCAAAAAGGTACTCGTATTTAAGAAAACGATGAAACACATAAAAAGGGGTCAATTTGGGAATTCTGGGAAGGCCATCCCCCAACTGTCACAGCATCGGACCACTAAACGGTGTGACGTATGTTTGGCACAGGCGTGAACATGCCATTTTGCTTGGGTCTTTGCATATTTTTTGGCACTGTTGTTTTTATTGGAACATTTTCAAGCACGACAATGTTGGCATGAAATCCTTTGATGTGAAGGGGGACATGGAACCCATGTTCATACAATGTCATGTCATTGGGGTCCATTTCGAGCCTGTCTTGGCACTGTGTTGGGTCCATGCTATGGCCATTTTGGGCTTATAGGGCCACTTTTGTGGCAGTTGGGGTTATGTTGTACCCATGTTAGGCTTATGTCGGGCCTAAATAGACAAACGATTTTAAAGCAAAAGTGCCATCCCCCAAATGATATAAAATTCAATATCAATTGCAACTCTTTTCGATCAATGCATGCACACAATTTTTTTTTGGCACCTTCGGTATGGGCGGACTTGGGACTGTGAGGCAGTTTGGGCCGTTTGGGCCCTGGTGCTCTTTGGTCCAAGTTGTTCCTGATCTGTTTTGGTGCCATGATTTTTTGAGAACAGCATCTACTCTAATGGCACACGATTACATTTTGCAAACGTTTTCTCCCTTGCTCGGGGAACGTATCGCACCACTTTAATTTGCAATTTTGCAACTCTGCCACCGAACATCGTTGTTGGCTGGGTATGGGAGTTAATACCGTCAGACCTAGTTGGAAATCCGAACGAGTATTGGCACAACATAGATCCACTCCATTTCTTTCAAGATGGGCACCACCCAAGCAATTTGGTGTTGCTTTTGAGGGTTTCTACTCTGCTTTCCGTTCTTTCATGCGGCAAAGAAACGACTGTTTTTTCTTTGTTTTTGTTTGCCCCTTTCCCTACGGTGCCGAACTGTAAAGTGTTTGCGAAGCAGATAAGCGACGGAAATTGAACTCGCAGGATCACAAAAAAAACATATCAGCCAATTGTTTGAAATCCTTTGGCTTCTGAACTCAAAAAGCGCATGCTCGTTATATAAATGGAGGAAGGAACAAAACAACATTTTGTTGATTGTGTTTGCCGCAAGTTTTTTGAGTTCCAAGTCAGGTGCCAAGTGAAAACTACGATGGCATAACTCTTTGAACGCCATGGAAGCGTCACTTTGTGGAAGACTTGACAGATGAGGGCTGCGCGGGGATGTTCACGCCTAGCTTTGCTTCGAAACCCCTGGAGGTATTTTAATGGTGTTGAGTCAGCTACGCACTGGTCACGCAAATGCGCAAACACATCTGTTGTGGAGGTGCTGGGACACGTCGGACACGGCATTTTCCACCTGCGCACATGTGACGTTAAGTATGCGGTATGCCAATAGCCGGCCCGGTAAGAAGTGCAACTCAACAGAACTCAATGGAAATTGGAAAACAAACAGTCACTTCCGAGTGATACCACCCCATTATGTTTGAGTCTGGCGCACAGGCTGAAATTGGTAGCCCAGCGGATGTGGCAGCATTTGCTGCCTTGGAGCCCCACCCAAGGAGGGCTCTGTCAAATTGATAGGTGCATGAAATGTAGCAGGCTGTTTGCAAGGCATGTTTTCTCTTGCAATTGAGATCAGCGGGAAGACTTGTTATAACGCTAGTGCTTTGATGCAGCCTCATTTTGACAAAACACATTTTGGTGCAGACTGCTTGGTTATGATATGATTTGAGATCAGCTTACTTGAAATCGTCCTGCATGCTTGCCCCGTCTTTGAGCTAATTAATTTCATCATATGGGGCTCAATCGTTGCACACAGTTGGATGTGCCCATTGGAATCTCCACTGTCACAGCCAGGAGTGTGCAGTATTTGATCTCTACCGTGGATCCCGAGGAAATATGGGATTTCCTCCATACAGAGATGCCGATTCGTTATGCTGAGAGAATACGGTCCTTGGAACATGCATCTCGGCTTATGAAAAATGTTGTGCATGGACTCCCGGTCCCCCCTACATCTCTCCAAAACATCCTAATGGTTCCCCAAAAAGGCAATTGAAAACAAGTCTGTTCGGTGTTTCAATCTTGATTCCCTTGCTGCACCTTCATGTGTGTGTGTGTGTGTGTCAAGACTCAGTCAAGACATAAGACATCGTACTACATTAACTGGTTCACCTTGTGGCATAGATAAACGCAAAGTACAGGGGCTCTGATTTGTCACAGAATAACTGTGAATCCCCAAATGTTTTTCGGCGTCCTTGCAGGGGCCAAAGTTTCTGTATGCTATAGGTACCTCATTGGAATTCAGTCCGAGATCTTGTTCGAGTTCATGACGCTCAAACCAAGTCCTTCAAGGCCGCTCATTTGTCGCACGGTGCTGAATGTTGCTCACTGATGCAACCTTCATCCTCGGAAGTTGAAGTGGTTCGAGTTCGAATTGTTGAAGCGTGTCGGATGCCAATTTGGTCCAGGCATTTCGCCAAGCCAGCATCCACAGCTCAGCTCAGGTTGCGCATGAGGCGGAAGAAAGGGTTTGGGGAAGTAAAGGAACACAATTTACGTTGACAGTTTGCAAGATTGGATGCGGTCTCGATGTGTGATGTGTATTATTTTACGACTGGGTACTAGGTGCAGGTTCAGTCTTTGTTCATTTAGTGTTCGCCGTATCGAATGGTGTCGCTTTACTCAAAATTTGCCCCGATTCCAACCTGGAGGTCACTCTATGACTCTATGTGGTTGTATCACGACCCTGATTTCCAAAGTGGGCTCAAGACGGCAGAGACTTGAGTCTTCGTGCCATGAGGCCATCCTTCGAGAACAAGGTGTTGTAGAGATGTTGGCGAAGTCAGTGCATCAACTGCGACATGACTTTGGTGAATCCATTACAGATGGCTTTGTGCCGCTTGGAATGAAGTTCAGGGCTTGGGCACACGTGGTTATGCCAATATCTCCGACCCACCAAAGTGCTCAGCATAGATTCCAACGGTTGGCCCTGTGCCGTTCTCCCCCAGTGTCTTTGTTGCTCTCTGGAAAGGGTTGGTAGCTGCAAGTAGCGTGGCCCAGTGCAAGTACAAATTGCACCAAAATCTGAGGAATGCAACAGTTTCCTTTCCTGCCACATTTTCCGGAAACAATTCCTATCAGGATGCAACGCAGTCGCATGTTTCTCAGGAGTAAGTTTCTGGATGACTTCCTGCTGAACCGCATCGGCTGCCAAGTGCTCTTGGGCCATTTCTTAGCTTGCCGAGCCGGTCAAAAGATTCTTGTCAGCGAGGCTCACCTGTTCGGGCACCGGGTGATATTGCTCCAACGTTGAAGTTCGGGTTCTTGCACAGTTTGGAACAGGCGAAATCGGCTAAATGCAAGAGATTCCGTAGGAAACGTAACGGCCATGGTTGACAGGACATGTTTTTTACATCTTGTTATTCTCTTTCAAGTGGTATGACTGGTGTCATCGTCGCCGAGGAATGGGATCATTGACCCACAGTGCAACACCAAAAGGGTTTGCCTAGGAGCTGCGAAGGCCAGTTCCAGTACCTCTTGAGATGAAATGTTTTTTTTTGGGGGGGATTTAGACTTTCAAACATGTTTTGACTGGTGCCCCGTATCCATGGTTGCGTTTCAAGTCGTTCTGTATCTTTCTGAATCACGGATCCTCTTTTCCTGAAGTATGTCTGTTAGTTCTGGCACCAGAATAGAGAAAGAACAAATTGTATCAATTTGTTACGATGAAGCAGCTAGTTGCTGCAATTTGACACGTTGACACATGGCCTCAGCAACATATTCAGACACCTGCCGGTGCAGGCAGTGCTGGAAATGTGTGTGGAGTGTACAGGATGCAGTCCGAGTGTTCAAGTGGAAGCTTTTTCTTCCTGCGGTGGGGGCCTGGATGATGACAACACCCCCAAGTTCCCCTACATGCCTCACGTCTTGAAGTACGTTGTGATGGAGTTGTTGAAGAACAGCTGCCGAGCAACCGCGGACATGTTGGGCAACAATCCGCGCCTTCGCGTGGATGATTGTCCCATCAATGTGATTGTTTGCGCCGATGAGGATCATGTCACAATTTGTGTGGCAGACAGAGCACAAGGAAGCGGCTTCTCATGAGAAATTTGGGCCAGGGAGGATTCCACTCAGCCACTTTTTGTGGGAGAACACCGGATACTTGGGAATAACAAAAATCCTCTTGGAAATAGATGCGACCATTTTGGGCACCTCCTGAGAATTCATGCGTTGAATTCATCTTGGATCATGTTGGCATTTTCTTCTCGTGCAGGAATCCCCAGAGGAGTTAATGCGTGGTCCTACTTGTACACAACGGCCAAAGATGGAGCGTACGGCTCAGAGAAGCGATTGGCTGGACATGGCGTAGGCGTGGCTGGGGAGGTGAGCTGAGATTGGCACCACTGTACCAGGCTGTACCACTGTTCACAAAGGACATCTTGGGCAAGGGAATGAGTCGAATGAGCATTCTGGCACATGAATTTACATGAATTCATTAGAATGTATTTTGAGGCCACGTGATCTTGTGGCATCTTGTGATACACTTACAGCAATACAAGTCTCGACAATCATTGATGCACGCTTTGGATTGTCACTGAATAATATGACTAGATGGTTGCTAGCGAAGTCGCTTTCTTTGCGACATGGATAAGTGTGATCGTTCAGCTGTTGACACATCTCTCATGCAAGATAGACGCCTCGTCGCATTGTTTGGGGGTGTTTGCTGCAGAAGTTTGCATTATCTTGGAGTCAGCATCCTCTGGATCCTTACGAGAGGCCTGCCACTGTCAAGACTGTATGCTCGTTACTTGGGTGGTGCGCTGGATTTGGTGTCGTTGCCGGGGTATGGAACCTGGGCAGTTTCAACAGACGTTTTTCTGTGCTGTTTTTATGCAACGAATTTTCACCCCGATACAAAATTACACAGAAACAGTGTCAAACTACCCTCTGTACTCACTACGGTAGACCATGTATCCATTCATCCATTGAATTTTCCGTTGATATGTCGATTCATCCTTGATTTCTCTCCAGATCCACATCGACCCCGACACAGGAACACATGCCTATGTCAACTTGCCTCGAGTTCAGTCGCAGCAGGTGGAAGTGGTCCCAGAGTCTGGGCTTTCATGACGGCCGTGGTCAATGGTGGCTTACAAACCAAGGGGTGCAGGGGTTAGATAGATATAATTGACATATGGTATTCGATATATATATATATACATACAAATATACATAGTGTAAACAAATAAATGCATATATATATATATAATAATATATAATATAATATAATATAATATCATATAATATAACATAATATAACATAATATAATATAGTATCATATAATATGATATGATATGATATAATATAATATAATACAATATAATATAATATAATATATAATATAATATATATGTTTTAATATATATATATATATCTATACGTGTGTGTGTGTGCGTGTGTGCGTGTGTGTGTGTGCGCGCGTGTGTGTGTGTGTGTGCGTGTGGGTGTGTGTAGATCCGTTCATATCTTTGTAAGGAAGAAATCAGAAGAAATGAGCATCGCCCACCAAGGGCTATTTGACCATTGAATAATATATTAAATCTATGGGAACAGAAGGAGGCACTGAACACGAGCAGCTTTTTCAGAGCCAACAGGTTTCGAGGCACAGGCAGGTACAAAACTTGCACCGAAGATACTGAAAGATACATCCTCAGCGGGGCAAGCTCGAACCCAGCCAATAAGAGGACCTTGAGGCATGGGTTGGTAGTGTTTGTGTGCAGGTAGCTGAGAAGTTTGACTTGATGTCAACTTGTGGGTTTTGCACCACTGAGGATCGTGATTACAACTATGATCATGCCAGTCTTTTAGATTTTACAGTCTGACAGCCGGTCGATTCGATGTACAGTTTGCCTCGTTAATGCAGCCCACGCCGTTTGCAACGCTGGGCAAGTGAAACAAAGCGAGAAAGCGGCAGAATGCGACAAAAAATAACTTGACTCCGGACTGACACATGTGACACCTCAGCACATATTGCAGAATACTGCAGATCTGCAGCGGATCAGTTGCAGGTCGTGGCTTGTGCTGTGTTGGCCCTCAGCTGTTTCAGCGACCATCGGCAAGTCGTGGATTCCACGTTGGATGAACGGGATGTGTTTGAGGCCCAATGCCTCTCTGCAATGATGGCAGTATGGCGCTGGTGTGCCCCTCTTGCAACCACGGTCTATGCAGAGGTTGTCGATATGTCGATTTCGCCTTTCCGATCACTTTGTCCCCCCTACACTCTGAGCGTCCCTTGGCTTCATAGAAGGGGAGCCAAGGCCAAAATATAAAGGGTTGCTGGCATTGGTCATTCCATAGACTTGCCATGAGTGCTGTTCTTCGCTGATATCCCCAGGATGACGAAGGTGACTTTCACCTTCAGTCTTCCCATGCAGATGCGCCTCAGTGCTCTGTGCAGCAACTGGCACAAAGTTTTGCCGAACAGCTGCAGGTGCTCTGTCACTGCGCGCGGCGGAGTTGTGTTTGCCATGTTAAACGAATGCAAAAAAATGCGGGGCTAAGGGAAATAGGAGCACACACTTCTTGCAAACATTTGCAGACCTATTCCATAGAATGTTGCCACACCATGCAATTGCAATGTGCACAGGCAGGGGCCCAAAGCTCCAATTCTACTCCTAGTGACTTAGTGAATGATTTTGCATGTGTGCAGCGATCGCCACGAGCTCCCATAGTGCCATAGGATGCGGCTCGCTCTGCGAAGATGCTATGGTTGGTGGCCACTCGGTACTATTGGCCGGAGCGATGGGAAGCGTACATGGCGCTCTACGAGACCATGTCGCAGCTGGAGCGTAGCGCCACACTCGGTCAGCTGGTTCAGCACTTTCCTTACGGCCTTACGGTCGATGGGGGCCCTAAAATCTCAAACCAAGGCAACCCATCCAGCTTTGGTCACAGCAGCTTTTCGGAGTCAATTCGTCTATATAGTCGAAATCATCGACAACATCAAGCATATTTTAGCAAGAATTTTGTATCCCAGACCTGTTCAACCTACCGTAGGTTTGGCATAGCAAAGTGTCATGTGACTTGGAGACCAGCCGCAGGAGTGCTTTGCAGCCTTCCGCGGCTGCTATCCGGGTGGCATGACTCAGGAAGCTGCCACGGTGCTTCCCGTTTGCTTGGCCTTTCGCCAGGACATGCAGGGTTGACACGTTTGCTGTTTGCCATGGGCATGGACAAGCATCGGTTCAAGGATCAGCCAAGCCTGGGGGCTGTCTTGAGGTCGAGTGAATATGCGGTGGATTTGATGAGAAATCAACAACTTCTTGGTAGCCATCTTGCTTGAAAGTAAGAAATGGTAGCAAGGACACTAGAATGAAGAACTCGGTACGAAGTACTTGCCCTCAATGAAAAAGGAATTTATCTTGTGGTTGGTGAAAGAGGCCTGTCAATCCCAGCTAATTGATTGGTGGTTCCTCTAGATTTCTCTACCCCTTCGAACAGTCTCGGCAGCCCTGCAGGAGGCACAACGTGTCTTCCAGATTGACGTGCCCTGGGCCTGAGGTTTTAAACCCAGATATTCTGTTTCGTGCCGGTTTGTGCCTAGTTTTAGATGGGGATCACCCAAGCCAACCGGGCATATGAAGCAGAGGGTCGTGGCAACCAAAGCTGACGCCCCACTGCCCGCCGACTTCTCAAGGCATACCTCAAGGATGCTGCGGGTCAACTTGGCAAGCCTCTGGTGATCAGTGAGGACATGTTAAGACGCCTGAATCATCCTTGTCCCTTGGATGCATGCTGACGGACCAAGTTCGGCAGCCTTGAGGTAGTCTTGCAAGTGGCCATACTGATTGGAAACTACCCCCACCATTGCGACGTGTTGCGACCTACCTGCCCGTTGGACTCCCCACTGATCGCTCGGCAAACCGGATTTGCTAAATTACCTGCTGCTTTCAGGTTTTGAAAGCGATGGTCTCTCCAATTTTCAGGCTCATGACCTGCTGAGACGTCAGGCGCGAAAAAGCCCTTTTAAGGGTTGAGCCAACATGGATGGTGGCTGGAACTGCTGAATCAAGGAACCCGTGCCAGGGTGAGGCATTTGCTCCATCTCCAACCCTTATCGAGGGAACTTGGAAGCCTAGTGTAACTGTCTTTGTTTTTTTTAATTACTTATGATCTGTGCCCACTTTGCTCCAGTTGAAGCCTTCCCATATTTGACACATCCCAGAGCAGGCCATGTTGCCAGCCTCCAACCTCTTTGGCAGCTACACTGGAGAGCCCTTGCCAGGGTCTGGCTTTGGGCATCCACAGCTAACGGCCTTTTGGATTCCCAGGTGTTTGCCCTGGTTGGGCATGGGAGAGGGCAGCCTGCCATTTCTGTTCTTGGGTGATGGGTGGTTTGTTTTGCTATGTTTTGCTATTTGATCCAGCGAACTTTGAAACAGTTCTTTGCCTGGGTGCCAGCCGCTTCAGCCGCTAGGTGGACGGCTCCAACTCCGCACAGCTTCGGGGTGTGCGAGCAGAATGACTTGCTGAAGTGGCCATTCGGCTCCAGTTCGATGGATTGGTTTAAGTTGGTTCACAGCCAACTTTTGGCTCCCAGACGTTGTGACAAAAATGTTGGTTACTATATGTTGTTGCACAGTACATATCTATGTAGCCCACTTTTCACCCATTAACCATGTGGCATTGGCTCAAGAAACAATGCGTATGCAGGGATAACTTTTGTGGTTGTTGTAGGCTTTTACCCTGTTTCTACAGGTTATCAGCCGTATCGCCAGAGGTGATTGGTTGTTTAACCTTTGTGGCGGGAACGCCACGGCTGCACTGGCTATTGCAGGTACGACGCAGCCGGAGGAGATGGTGATCCACATGAGTTACTTGGAAGACGACTTTGACCCATGCCGGAATGACCCACGCCGTAACATGCCAGGTGTTTTGGACTCGCACATCGACATCAGCCAGTTGAATACCATCAACTTCAACAGTGTTGATCAGCGTACCGCCCAAGTGGCAGTGGTTCAACAAGGTGTCGATCCTACCCTGGCAAGTCAATTATAGTCAATTGATGGCTGCACAGCAGCAGGCTTTGCAGACTGAGGCCAATGCGCTTCACTCCGAGGTCATGGAACGTCAAAGGGAGACGCTTGTGAGCGAAGCTCGAGATCAGCTTGCAAGCATTGAGCAGAGAGCAGCCGAGGAGATTTCCAAGAAGAACCTTTTGTTGAACGAACAAGCTGCCCAAGCGATGAGTGAGCAGAAATCTGCTCAACTGCATGTCCAAGTGCAGGATCATCGCATCAAGGAATTGAGTGCCGAACTTAGTCAAATTGTTAACACTGCCGGTCTTATGTCAACGTCTGTGGACAAGCCCAATGCCGATTTGCAAGCAGCCCGTTCGGAACTTGCAGAGTACCGCACTCAGATCGATGCCATGAATCAATACTCACTGGACATGAAAAGAGCGGCCGAATCTCAGAAACGAGGCTTTGAGGTGGAGATTGAGAAGCTTCGGAGGGAACAGAAAGAGTTAATTCGAAGTTTGAAGTCTCAGCCTCTGGAGGGAACTCCTGGACTTGAAATTCACTTTGGACTTTGGACCAGGTGAACCCAATCCACATTCGTCTCAACCTTCAAGACCTATCATTGAAGAACTTGATGCAGGTGGCAAGAAGCCCATTCACTCGTCCGATGCGGATGACGAGAACTTCATGGCAGAACCCTTCAAACCACCAGGTCGTCCTGGTGGCGAACCTCCTGACGATGATGATGATGACGACAACTTCAATGACAAACGAGGTCGCAAGGACAAGAAAGACAAGAAGAAAGGTCGGAAGACCAGTCGGGGCCGATCCAGACGCCGACGTCGTCGGGATCCATCCTCTTCTCCTTCATCGTCTTCATCGCCTACCACGTCCAGTTCGGATTCTGAGAGTTCCTTTGCACGTAAGGTTAAGAAAGCTTTAGAACGTTCTAGGACATCTGATAATAAGGCCAAAGAGTCTGATCGGGTGCTAGTACCTAAGTTTCCTCAACTTGAAAATTACAGGAACTGGAGGATCCGAGTAAGGGATGCCGTAATAGCAGCTTCAGCTAAACCTGATCTAGCTTTTCAGTGGGTTGAAGAAGTTTTCAAGACGGATCAGTCCGTCGACGCCTTGAAGGATTCAGGTAAATTTGTGACCCTGGACGCAAAGCTCATGTCTTCGCTCACCAACATCTGCGAAGGGGACTTTGCACGGCAACTTGACATTTTCAAGGAAGAACAGGCCAAGACGGGGACACCAGCCAGGGGACGTCAAGCATTGCTCATGATCCATAAGCATTTCAGCACAAGTAGAAAGCATGGTGCAGTGTATGACATCCAAGATCTAATGGCTGTTACCTTAGTCAATGACGATCTAACGGGTTTCATCACCAGATGGGACGCCGTGATCGCTGGAATGACTTCCGAGCCTGACACAATGTGGAAGCAAGCGTACTTTCACAACGCCATCAAGAACTTCAAGCCTCTTTCTCATGATCTGGCTGTGTATGATCGCACATCGGAGGGGGAACCCAACCGCTCTTATGAGTTTCTCATGAAAGCCGCACGGGACTACCTTGAGAGGAAGCGTCTTGAAAAGATGCGACAGGCAACGAAGAAGTCAGTTTCAGGTAAGAGAGACGCCGCCCCAGCGCCCAACAGACCGCCGTCTGCGGGCAAACCTCAGGGCATTTGCTACGACTTCCAGGCTGGCAAGTGCACCCGAGGAAAGGATTGCCGTTACAAGCACGAGAAGTCAGACAAGGGAAAAGGCGGAGGCAAGAAAGGTAAATCTAGGTCCAAGTCAAGAGGCACTAGTCGTTCTTTGTCTCCTGGATCTAGGAATCAAGTTTGCAAATTCTGGACGGCGGGGAAGTGCCAACGTGGCAATGAATGTGCTTTTCAACACCCGCCGAAGCCTGCAGCTCCATCTACCAAAGATGACAAGCGTGGGAAGAGCCAGAGCAAGAAGAAGAACAAGAGGAAGGGCGACCGTTCCAGGTCGTCGAGCCGAGGTTCCAATTCCTCGAAGGGCTCTCAGAGTCTCAAGGACAAAGGGGGAAAACCGTCTTCCCCTGGCTCAGCTGCAGTTTGCCTGATGCGCGCTCTGATGATGGTCGCAGTCGTTAACCCTTCGACCAGTACTCATCGCGTGCCGGAAGGCATTGCCCGCACCTCGTTTCTCAACCAGCATTTTGCCATGCCTGTTACACCCAATCGCACAGTTTCATTTGGGAGCAACGTTGAAACCTTCGAAGTTCCCATTGAGCATGATTGCAATTTGAATCCATGCCATGCCAAACAGAGGACTCGCAATCCAGTTTGCATCACAAAGGACGATCGTTTTCGTAAAGATACGATCGAAGGACGTGAGAGTGATGCCATACTCGCTGCACGTCAGCTGTCTTCCGGGAGTTGCATGGGAAACGTTGCAAATGCAACTTTGCATGTGACAGTGATATCGGCTGTTGTCACTGCATCCGTTCCGACCTGAATGCCCTGCCAGGACACATGCCGTCCCAGCAGCGTAATGCATCCGCTGAGATTGCATGGATCGCAGACACTGGTAGTGCTCAGGACTTAGTTTGCAGTAAAATGATTCCCGAAGACTTAGTGTATCATTCTCACGAACCCCTTGAATTAATCACAGCTAATGATTCTCAGTCAGCTGACCAACCAGCTTCTGTTCACATCGATTGCATCGACAAAGAAGTTCAACCATATGTTCTTCCTGATACCCCGGCTGTAATATCGGTAGGGGTGAGATGCATTCAAGATGGATGGGATTTTGTTTGGACAAGCTTTAGCCGTCCATACTTCAAGAAACGAGATGGTACCAAAATCAAACTTGAAGTAAAAGATTACGTTCCTTATTTACCATCCAGAGATGGCCAGGTACCCGCTGCAGTAGGGATTCCGTTTTCATGGGACTCTGCTGCCGGGAACGGCAAGGCCATCATCTCACCTGTTCGAAGGTCTCGCATGTCGGCAGTTGGAACCGAATCCGAGGACGAAGTCGAAGAGGTGGAAGAGCCTTACGAGGTGTCCATCGCTGATGATGACGAAATCCTTGGACACGCTGACGACAGCCTCGAGGAGTTCTTCCCTGGTGAACTTGCGCCAGGACCTCCGGCGGCGATGACACCCGATGTCAATGCGGGTTCGGAAGATGAGGCCGACGCTCCTGAAGAACCAGTCGACGGTCGGCTTCAATTGCCTGAGCCCAAAGCTCTTGATCGTGGTGAAGCCGGGTTCACACAATTGAATTCAGCTTTTGCCATAATTAAATCGCTTTGCTTTGGCAAGCTCCCGGGCGTCCACAAGAACTTTTGATGCCGCGTGGAAACGCAACCATCCACCTTGCATGTTCGTTAACAAGCCCGGTCGAGCCTAAAATAAAGCTGAATGCATCCGACCGAATTGACTTGCGTTGCATCCGTCTTTCGTTGAACTTGAAGTTAGAATGAATGGATTGCATTCGCTGTTGCACTTTTGGTGTCATTTTCGCCACGCTGAGGTGGAAGTGAAAAGACTACATCGAAGGAAGGCTGTATTCCTGGGCTCGGGATAGTATTAAATAATTGTTGTTTCTTGGCACCCCTTACCGTACTGTGTAACGCATGAATTTGCAGCTTCACCCTCTTGTAACGTAGTTTCACTGCACGGGGGGTGTTGTTAGCACAGTACATATCTACGTCCACTTTTCACCCATTAACCATGTGGCATTGGCTCAAGAAACAGTGCGTATGCAGGGATAACTTTTGTGGTTGTTGTAGGCTTTTACCCTATTTCTACACTATACTTACTTCGGCATCCTATTTTGAGGGTATCCTCGTTGCGGTTCATGTCCCTATGAGCCGATTCTCAGACAATCGATTCTGAGGTATGATGCTTTCGAGCCACCGTTTATGCCGAATGAAATGCCTGCCGCCCTTTGTCATGTAGGGCAGCCTGTGCCGCCGACCGTGGTTCTGGTACAGGTTCATAGGTGATGACAACCAACCCAGGGTTTGGAATTCGTTGAGAAGAACTCCCAACTATTGGTTCGCCTGTCAGGGCCATAGCCCGTGAAATTACAACCAAGAGTTCATCTATCTGTAGAGTGTCCGTCCGTGTGAGCAAATGTGATGCATATTTCTGAGGAGTGGGCGCAGTGGGTGGTCAACCTGGGCGCTGCAGATGGATCCTGTGATCAGGACATACCCAGACAAGACAACATGGAACGTGGGCCACTGGGTTCCAACGATCCTGCCAACTGCTTGCTTCGCGAAGGTGGCTTGAAGCAACGTGATGGGATGGGGTAAAAAGGTAACTACAAAGCTTGAGCAAAGCACTTGAGAGAGACTACTTTTGTACTACAACTTCTGCACACATACTTAACAATCTTAAATGAGTCCGAAATGATTTTGAAATGTCTTTGGACCGAGCCTGAAACAAGTCCGAAAGAAACTTGGAAGCTACTTCGTACTACAAGCCTTGCACAAAGTACATCCCAGTACTACTTCGTGCTACAAGCACTGCACAAAGTTACCCCCAGTACTACTTTAATTACAATTGCAAGCCACTGGCAAGGCTTGGCCTCCAAGACATGGAGCCTTTCAAGTTGCGTTCGATTTGAGGCTTTTGACGACAGGTTTCTCCAACAGCTGGGTGGTGTTCAAGGTTTGCCTTTCAAATCAAAGCAATCTTGATGCCAAATGCAAAACCTTGATTGAATGCAAGGATTTTTTGACAATGACAAGGCCTTCTAGGTGAAATTGACTGCCTCGCCCGTCTTGGCTCAAACGAGTGTTGTCAAGAAAATTGGTTTCAAACGAGTGCCATCTTTTTGATTTTTATTTGTTGTAAGTCTGCTGGGTGGATGCTGTTTGTGTTCAGTGCTTGACCCTGGGGACTTCCTATCAAGTATGTTTCTGATGTCATATGTTTTGATTTTTTCTCTGTCTATTTTGTTGAAGAGTTCCGCATAAGTCGGTATTCGTGTCAATCCCTGTTTTGCGTTGATGACTTCTGCTGTCATTGCTTTATATAAATATATATATATATTAATACTTTAGACTTTAGCTTTCTTTTTTTAATCCTGTGATTCACCTCTCTTATAATCATTCATCATCAATCGATTCTCTGTTTCATATTCCGGACAGTCGCCCCGTAATCTTCTGATCTGTGATTTTCCTCACCTCCCTCAACCTTGTCCTTTCGTTCTGTGGCATCTCATTCTCTTCCTTCATCCTCTGGTGTGGAACACAGGCAAACGTTTTGCACCTTCAAAGAGTTGATTCTGTGAATGTGTCGGTCACGTTGATTTGACTCTGTGCTCGCGAAGCACGTGATGTTGGTGAATTTCAAACACTTTTGTGTTGGCCAAGAGAGCATATTTAGATGCATTGTGATCCATCACGGGGAGTATAAATACTGAAGCACTGCATGTCAATGTTCGAACATCTCATGTAGTTCCCGATGGAAGAAAACTGTTATCGCGACTTCGCCCCTCTTCCCCATGCATGCGCGGGGTTCCAGGACCTTTCCCACCTTGTGCCCCGCTTTGTTTCCCACTTTGTCTCCAAGCATCTGTCCCACAAAGTCTCCCACTTTGTCTCCGTAGTGTTTCCCACTTTGTCTCTCACTCTCGCATGTATCAGATACTGCAAGGCCTTTCGTAGAAGGTTGTTTGAAGTGATGTTTGTGACTGTGGGTGCCCTGTCAAGGCTCAACAGTTGCTGAGGTTGGCCTCAGAATTCAAGCAGAGAGTGCAACAAGCCCAAAAAGAATTAAAGAATGCCGAACAACTTTTGGAAGAGACACTGGAAACCAGTGCAAAAATCCATGCTGAAAATGCGGCTTTGAAGGAAAACATAACATATTGTGTTATTTGCACGGAGGAGAGAGCCGAGGTTGCGCTGTTTCCCTGCTTTCATGTTTGCGTATGTCGGAATTGTTGGGAAAGGCAGCAGGAGGAGGACAAAAGCAAAGGCTTCGTTTTCAGCTGCTGTAGAGGGGCACCAGCAGAAGACAATTTCAGAAGACAATTTTCAGAAGACAATTCGAACGTTTTCGAAGGGCAGCAGCAGGGGCACAATTCGAACGGGCCGCCAAAGGCCTATGGATTCCCAAGCACGCGGGCGGCAGAATGGAAACGGGTACATCTCGAAAAAAAGGTACCACTCCTTTGACCGCAGGTTTTGGGTCCACAATTTGATGGATGATGCCGATGGGTTCAAAAGCTTTAGCGTGGGGAAAAAACGGGCACACATGTATATATATATATACACACATAGGAATTATCTTTAGATAGATAGACAGACAGACAGACAGATAGATAGACAGATATATTATATAAAATGCATATATTATGAATTACTTTATATATATATATAATATATATATACACATTTATACTACCACTTCATCACGTTAAAGAAGACCAAAAAAAACAGATGAGTAGAATGCACTGTGGCAAGTCCACAGTGTGAATTGTGTTGGCTCGCACTGAAGCATTACAATGATTTCCTGTTATTGCAAAGGCTTCAAAGTCTCCTTGCGGAAGCACCATTGGCCTAGTTGGCACGAAGAGATTAAGCTAGATCCCGAGGCCTTTCCGACCTAGTAAATACTGATTCCTTCCAAAGGTAGCACCTAACCCAGGATTTGGAGGCTACCTCTTTGAAGGTGATGAGAAGCACGGCGCTGCCCTCAATGCCCTGATCGGGGATCGGAAGGTTGGGATGGGGGGTATGCGGGGTGCGGTGGCATTCCAAGCAGCCTGGATTCCAGATTTTTTTGGAAGCTCCACCTGAAACTTGGTTGTTCAGTTTTCATAAACTTGCCATCCTTTGAAGATGGGGTGACTGGGGTGGCCCAACCAGTAGATCCTTGAAGCCACAAGTCTATCGCAGCCAGGACGTGCAGCTGCAGCTGGGCTTCGCTGATCCCAGCAGTGTGGCCAAGAAATTGTTGCGGCACATCGTGCAGCGGCGCCTGGGGCAGCCCTTGTTATTGAAGGCGGGCCAAATTGGAAGCGCTGTTGCTGGGATGGACTAGGACAAACCTGCTGAATATATCTGAATATGGGATTTAGGGAGGCATTTGGCACGAGCTTTAGCTTTTGCCACACGGTTAGCAATGCTGTCATGCCAATTGGTACTGCATGCCCCAAGTTCCATGCCTTTTCTGTTTCCCTCCCCTCAATGCTTACTTTCATGGGCCACATGTTGATTGGGCGGTGCCCTCACTTGTTGCTATGTTTGATCTACAAGGCACATTTATTGATGCAATTCCTAATTGAACCCATGGATATTAAGCAGCCAGAATTTCAAGAATCTCAAGAACTACCCGAAGCTTCTCCACCTCACCCTCCTCAAGCCACATCGACTACATCACTTACTACCACCGAGACCCTCACTCCAGAAGAATTTGAACTTATCAGGCAACATCAGCTACTACCAGAGAGTCTTCTCCTGCAAAGAAACCCAGTTTCTCACTCCACCTCCAGCTAAGGATGTAGAGCTCTCAGACTTGGACTTGGGACTCCAACAGGAACTTCGATCGTCACCTCAAGCCAGAGCAGGCTTCCTTGCCCTCAACCTCACCTGTCCAGAAGCACTTCGCTTCGACCCTGACAAGGCAAACTCCAGAAGATTGACCTCAGCAAGAAGCGACCTTTCATTGACCTTCAACATTCAGATCGACACCATGGATACCAGAATGAAGAATTGGAATCCACGATTGACAACAAAGCACTCCTACTTCGAGGGCTATAGCTACAGGATTTACAATGAACAACCTCGACATACTATATCCTTCTACATGAAGAACAAGGACCCAGAGTAGCACTTGGACTTTCCATAGCTATTCAGCAGCTCTTCCATCATTACCAGATCGACAATGGTCTCACCACAGATGTACATCGATGCAACAATCTCATTGTACAAAGACCTTGCCCCCTTTGTGACTACCATCTCCATTTCAGCAAGAACGAGAGGAACTCTTACCAGCAGATCCTAGGTTCTTCATGTGAGTTGACCAATATTTTCCACTTCCACTACATAAGGATGAGCTTACCAGCTTCATCAACAACTCATATCTCTGCCAGGACATCTTTCTTGGCATGGACCCCTACACCAACAATGAGCTGACGCACCTGAGTTCAGTTTGCACCTGTTTCACCGACGTAGCCTACTGGCAATTTGCTCATGTCTTTCAGCGTAGGCCTAGGGATAAATTACAGCTTCAGATCCCCAATAGGGGCCAAAGGCAGTACCGCTCCTTTACCGGACACAGTCCCATTTTACTCCATGAACAGCTAAAGCGAGACCACGGTCCTTCTAAAGATCATTCTTTTCCCTGCCGTGCGTCGCGGAAGCTTTCGCATCAGAATCTTAGAGTCCAAAACAGCTTGTAATCGCAGACTTCATTCAAACTATTTTATTCCACCGACAAAATTGTCGTGGTTATCGTGAATTCTTTTCTCAAAGCCCTCGATGGATGGGTCCCACCTTGTGCATTCTATCCGGTTCCGCGTAGAAAGTGCAAGTTAGCAGCGTTTGCCAAAAGAACCATTATCCTCTACTTTTTCTTACGCACTTCTTCTCGCCCGGAGAAGTAGTCAACCACTTTTGGGCGCGCTGTTGCGGACGTGTGGCCCAATCGAAGCTGCATAGCGCTTCGGAAAAAAACGGGGCGGGGAAGGCTTTATTCAAAACGCCCCAGTTTTGCACGATTGAGATTGCAGCACACCAGGGTCACAAGAAAAAATCCGCGCCAGGTCGATGTGGACAATTGCGATTGTTGTTTCGTGGAAACCCTTCTGGAAGCTGGTTTGAAGCCGCTGGTCATCCATGTGGAAGTGAGCCCCTTGGTGCCGCCACCTTTCATTTACAGGCCGTCAAGTTAGGGTGGGTTACCAGAACCGGCCTTGTTTTCACGAGAACTGTTGGCATCTCCTCAGGCAGCTGTATTTGGGCACCCTCAAGGTATTACGACAGGTACCAGCGCTGCCACCATTGGGGCAGCGCCCCCAAGATGGAGGTTCTTCTATTGAATCCTCTTCCCAATTCGCGTTGTGATGTGCGATGACAGATGTTTGATGCAAAAACCGCTGGGAAACACTCTTGGTATAAATGCTGCTTGGTGTCGTAAACGCCCCTGGTCTCATAAAACGGATTTTTGTTGTAAAAGTGTTCTTGTCCTACACGCCGCGCTGCAGTACATGGATTGAAACTCTGGGGAACCGCAGACACTGGGAAAGTGGGGGCAGGGGGTTCACACAAACAAACACGCATAAAACTGACAGCTCCATCAGACAAAGCGGTGCCAGGCCAAAGGAATTTGACCCCTACATCCAGGACTCTATGGAATTTCTGAGTGCCTTGCTGCAAGAAAATTGTATGACAACCCTCACAGTGCCACATTTATTCTCGTCAAAGTGAGCTGCACGCTTCTCTATTGAATCCTATTGAACTGGTCTGATTTTTATTGACATTGTATACATTGTATGCATTATTGTGCTGTTGTTTTGTGCCCGTGCCCCCCCAAAATGGTCAGCAACTACGGCAACTTGTGAGTGATCAGCGCAGTGGATCTGCCGAGATGCCTCAGAGGGACGTCGAGGACACATGCGACACTGCTCACTTTCAGCCTTCGAAGAGAGTTTGGGCAAGTTTGGCTATCGATTGGTGCCTGGGGTGCTGGGGAAGTTTGTGTCAGATGGGGGATGATTTCTTTTTCACCTGATTCGGACATGGTTTTATGCTACCAGAAAATTCAGTACCCAGGGCATTGCACTGATAAAGTGCTCAAAACGTCATCCTTGACCTTTGATTTGTCTCTGCTTTCCCAATTCCAAAGAGGCAAGAATTTCCACGAAGTAGTTCTGCGCAGTCTTCTTGCCAGCACTAGGTGTACTTCCACTATCATGACGCCACCTTTGCGCTGCCGCCGGTTGAGCCGCCCCCTTGGATTGTTGGCCGGACGGCCGCAGAGGTTTGGCACCTTGGCCCGTTGCGCCAATGCAAATCCTATGAAAATCGTTGATGGCTGGTTACCGTACCTGAACAGCCCTAGTGACCATACCTGCTTATGATTGATAATGATGACAAAGTATGTATATATATATACACATCGTTCACAGATCACAGATGGACTTTGGTTTGTGATTTGTAGTGTCGAACCTGGCATACAGATTGCCAAGTCTTCTCGCACTGCTCAAGCAGCAATGAGATTTGATTGATCTTCTTCGGCATTTGCAGAAGAATCAAAGTAATGCTGGGGATGATTTATGCATTTTTTCATACACCATGCACACTGCGTATACATAGTAATATTATGATTATTGAGAGAGAGAGAGAGAGACACACACACACAAATATGTGTATATATATATAACTATATAATTATATAATTATACACATTAAACACGCGTATGCACCTTTATTGGGCTTACACGACTTGTACCCCGAACACCAAGCAGAAGCCGTGATTGGTTCCCCTTTCGTCAAGTGCGTCGAAGGATACATTTTCAGAGTCTTCCAGACATCAAACGATCAGTGGTGGTTTGAAAGATTTTGGATGCATCGTTTCCAAGGTATGGTGTTTTCTTTTGCCATCCAATGCGTACGGTAGACCCGCTGGAAGTGCTCTACAAGCAGAAATTTCTCTACGACTACAGGCGCGTAAACCCTTCTCCAATTCTGTTTCTGCTTGTGATTTGATGATGTGGTAATTACTGTAGTAGCATCAATTTACATGCCGCGTTTTTCCCCAACAGCAAACCTTCGCTATGGGGTCTTTAGCCCAGATTAGCTCCGGTGCGATCCGGTGCTTCAACACCAGGTTCCGGACAAGGTTCCGGAGGGTTCTGGTGCAGATTTCGTGAGGTTCCGGAGGGTTCCGGTGCAGATACCTCGTGAGGTTCCGGAGGGTTCCGGTGAAGATACCTGCTGAGGCTCCGGAGGGTTCTGTGTGGTTCTGAAGGGTTACGGTGCAGATACTTGGTTAGGTTCTAGAGGGTTTTGGTGCAGGTACCTGGTGAGGTTCCGGAAGTTTCCGGTGCAGCTACCTGATGAGGTTCCGGAGGGTCTAGGTGAAGATGCGTGGTGAGGTTCCGGAGGGTTCCGGGGCAGATACCTTGTGAGGTTCCGGAAGGTTCCGGTGCAGAGACCTTGTGAGGTTCCGGAGGGTTTGGCGGAGAAGATGCTTGGTGATGTTCCGGAGAGTTCCGGTGCAGATACCTTGTGAGGTTCCGGAGGGTTCTGGTGCAGATGCTTTGTGAAATTCCAAAGGGTGCCGATGTTTTTTATGGCATTAGGCGCTTGATTTTTATGGCATAAGCGCTTAATTTTACAAAAACGCAGAAACTTTCAAGCTGTTGGGGGTAGCATTTTTCTTTGCATGGGGTTTATGATGGTTTATGTGTCTTGGGTCAGTGCTGTGCAATTGATTGGACAGCCAAGATTTGGGGCAGCGTCATCCTTCGACCTTTCGCGTGCCTTGGATGTTCCCAGGCAATGGAGCGACTTGGAGGTTCCCAGCAGTGAGCGACTGCAGAAACTGCAGCGCTATTTGGATGCCTGGCGTGTGCCGCCTGACAGCTACATCCTGAAAGAGGAAGAAACTTCTGACCGAGCAGAGAGAGAATTGGGTAGTGACATGTATAGGCTGATCCTCAACTCCAATGTGGTCGATGTGTTCGATTGTAGTTGAGAAACAGGTTGGTTTGGGGTTCCTAATTTTTGGACAGATGCTTGTCCACATGGCCCCCCAGCTGATGCTTCATCCCGAGATTTGGCTCCAGAAGTGGGACTGTGTCCCCTTCGACATGTGGGTCACAGCCAAGCGATTTCAACAGTTTGAGAAACATTCAAAAAGTGAAGACACTTAATTAAAGCATACACTGGAGAATTTGTCGGGGTATGTTTGGGGATGATGCACTTGCATGGTGCTTTGACAGACACCTTTCAGAACAGGACAGAAGCGTGGCGAATACATGGGTGTTGGAGACCGTGAACTCTTTCTTCTCTAGCGACTCTAGCACCGAATCCTACAGAAAAAAATCACTGGTCCGGATCCACAATCTGGATCATTAAGCAGCGAGGAGAAAACAGATCCCACTGTCACATACTACAAATTGATCCATAGCAATTCTAAACTTTCCAAGTGGGATGGGCTGTTTCCTCATGGCGCGGCTAACCCTGCCTCGTCATGCACCTTGCAAGGCAGCTGGCACAGGCAGTGCAGGGCAGATGATAACGAAGACACTTTGTGTGGTCCGTGTGGTTGTGGAGCCAATCAACTTTTAGGTTTCAACTGTTTGGAGTATGAACCTTCACCAAATCTTTCTTTCCTGACTTCTCACCAAGAAAACAGGTGACCAAACCAATTCGGTAAGAACATCACCCTGGCTTAAGTACGCTTAAGTACTGACACCTCGGCAGAAGAGTTGCGGAAGTGGCCCGGAGTAGGGTCCTGTGGCCTTGCCAGGTGAGCAAGTGCCGCTATGCAGAGTGTTTCAATCCCAGATGGGATGCCATGGACTGGTTGCAGGGATCACTTTTTATCTATAATGTGGGTAAAACAATGCCATAAACCGCCCCATTTTTGATGGTTTTTAGCACCCATTTATGGTGATTTTTGGGATGGTTTATTATTGTTTTAACCACATTACTTTCATAGTCTATGACTATGTGCGAGTGCGAAGCAGCTACTTAGACCTAGCCGACCTAGCCTGACAATCCAGTACTTGTAGAGCTTAGGGCATTCGCCCGAGTGTCTGAGGTGGTTCTGGGCCAGTACATGGTTTTCATTCCCGGCGCTCTGAAGCGGCTGCGGTTTCTCAGTGCTGTGCTGGCTGTGATGGGCTGTTGATTGGGGAATGAGAGAGGGCCGGTATGGTCTAGTGGATAAGACACATCCCTCCTGCGTCAGACCCGGGTTCAATAGGGCGTGGTCCATAAACACACTCCCTGATTGGGGACTGAGAAGGAACCCAAAGAGGATGGCGGCGATTGGCAAAGATCTCTGTTTGCATTGCTAAGAATGGACAAGCGAATTGGAGAATGAATGAATATTGATGCCTGGTTTCAAACATTTTCAATTTCCATTCCCATTCCTTAGTTGGGATGACCCAAAGAGGCCAAAAAATGACATAGGAAATGGCCATCAACCAAGCACTTAGAATTCAGATCAGGAATATCAGGATGTGTACAGCATGCGTGTGAAGTGTGCTTGTGGATCCTACTAACCATCCCTTCCTCCTGCTAGTAAGCACCTGTCAGGAGCTCAGGTTGTTGCACCCGTCGTGAGGCTGTTCCCAGATGGCCACCTAAATCACAAGCCATTCCAACTGGTGGCCGTGCCAGGTGCTCAGTTACTGTTGAAATGGTAGCCATGCTGTAGATTTCTGAACAACATAGTTGTCAATTTTGAAGCCACAATTATCGGGCATTACACCAGGAGTCAACAGCAGTTTTCTTCAGATCTTTCATTCTTCCCGCCAATGCAGAATCTGACATTTATAATTCTATATAGCCACTATAATCCATCATAATCCCCTTTGGGCATTCTTTCCCCTTTTGGGGATTGCCGGTCGCAGGTTGTGGTGTTCTCTCAAATCCGAGATTGTGCCAATGCTGGACGGCCCCAGGTCAAGTCACAAGGAGCCCAGGTGGCAAGATGTGTCTGAAAATAGGCTACCCGACAAAAATCCACTGGTTGATCATGATTTTCGCCATTAAAATGGCTATGTCTTACCCTCTGGCAATTTAACATAGCTATTGAAAATTGCTATTTATAGTGGATTTTCCCATTGAAAATGATGATTTTCCATAGTGATGTTAGTTTACCAGAGGGTATGTCTTATGTTGTATACTCCATTTTCAGACACACCCATTGTGGCGCTACCGTGCATCTCCTGTGCATCTCAGGTCATTGAGAGCTTCGTCCGGCACTATGCGGCGCTGGGCTTCTACCGGCTGCTGCAGGGTCCCTAGTCATGGGCTGAAGGCCTGGCTGAAGTAAGCATCCCAAATGAGTTTTCTGGCTAAGAAACGCCTGCCTGCCAACCTGAGCTGTTTCAAATTCCGTCCATGCCAGAACTTGACTGGCGAATAGCTGAGGCTCTACCTGGATGACTGTGAGGACTGTGCTGCGGAGGTTTTGCAGAAGAGTGGATGGGTAGGGGCCACAGTTCGCTAGAAAACTCAGGATTGTCAAAGGTTTACAGCCCCCAAACCAGAATGGAAACCAAAAACTCTTTGAACCAGTTAATTATGTGACCTCACATGTCAGAGAAGTGGAGGATGGTGGTTGACGGTGATGTGTTCGGAGAGTCTTCCCACAGCAGATGCAAGATCGCATCGTTTGTATAAGTTTTTTTTGAAAACAAGGTGCCCATTCTTGTAGCGCCCCCCATCAGACAGACATTTGAAATCCATATTCTTGACAAGGTGACCAAGAGCGAGTGACTAAACAACGATTAAATTATATGTAGAATGTAGATCCTGTGGATGGAAGAAATCCTGCACCAGTTGGTAACTATTGGTATACTAGGCGCAGATGACACGGGACTTTGCGGCCAATTTAGCCGATGTTTTTTGGCACATGACATGGGATTTATGTATCGATTTTGCTATGGTTTTTTTTTACATATGACATGGGAGTTGTGCGCCGACCTAACGGGCAGGTATTTTTCCATTTTATTGACAGATGACATGGGAATAAGTGATCAAATTTACACATGACATGGGACTTCCAGGAAGACACAGACGTCCAAGATGGGAAACGGCAGGTAAATTCCTTTAAATTGTTCTAAAATCTTGGAAATTCTTTTAAATTCCTTTAAACTCCTTAAAAGTCCTTTAAACTCCTTTAAATTCCTTAAAATTCTTTAAAATTGCTTTACATTCATTCAAATTCCTTTAAAATCCTTTAAATTCGTTAAAAGACGAATTTACCACATGACATGGGACTTCCAACCCCTTTAAATTCCTTAAAAGTCCCTTAAATTCCTTTAAATTCCTTAAAAGACGAATTTACCACATGACATGGGACTTCCAATTCCGTTAAATTCTTTTAAATTCCTTTGAATTCCTTTAAATTCTTTTATATTCCTTTAAATTCTTTTAAATTCGTTTAAATTCTTTTAAATTCTTGAAAATTTCCTTAAATTCCTTGAAATTCCTTCAAATTGCTTTAAATTCCTTAAAAAACGAATTTACCACATGACATGGGACTTCCAGTTCCTTAAAATTCCTTTAATTTTTTTTTAATTCCTTTAAATTCTTTTAAATTCCATTAAATTCCTTTAAATTCCTTGAAAGATACATGACATGGATGGGTCTTCCAATTCCTTAAAATTCTTTAAAATTCCTTTAAATTCTTTTAATTTCCTCTAAATTCCTTTAAATTCATTTACATTCCTTTAAACTCTTTTAAATTCTTTAAAATTCCCTAAAATTGTTTTAAATTCCTTTAAGTCCCTTTAAATTCCTTAAAAGACGAATTTACCACATGACATGGGACTTCCAATTCCTTAATTCCTTAAAATTCCCTTAAATTCCTTTAAATTCCTTAAAAGACGAATTTACCACATGACATGGTACTTCCAATCCCTTTAAATTCTTCCAAATTCCTTAAAATTCCTTTAAATTCATTAAAGTCCCTTTAAATTCCTTAAAAAACGAATTTACCACATGGCATGGGACGTCCAATTCCTTTAAATTCTGTTAAATTCCCTTAAATTCCTTTAAATCCCTTTAAATTCCTTAAAATTCCTTGAAATTCATTAAAATCCCTCTAAATTCCTTAAAAAACAAATTTACCACATGACATGGGACTTCCAATTCCTTAAAATTCCTTAAAATTCCAGCTGCTCAGCTCCGACCCGTCCGGACGGTTTTCCAAATAGTTGCTGAATAGCTTCGAAATAGCTGCTAAATAGCTGCTAAGTAGCTGCAAAATAGCTGCTAAGTAGCTGCTAAATAGCTGCTCAATAGCTGCTCAATAGCTGCTAAATAGTTGTTGAATAACTACTAAACAGGTGCTAAATAGCTGCTAAATTGCTGCTAAGTAGCTGCTAAATAGCTGCTCAATAGCTGCTAAATAGCTGCTAAATAGTTGCAAAATAGTTTCCAAATAGTTGCTGAATAATTGATAAATGGCTTCCAAATAGTTGCTGAATAATTGATAAATGGCTTCTAAATAGCTTCGAAATAGCTGCTAAATAGCTGCTAAATAGCTTCGAAATAGCTGCTAAATAGCTGCTAAGTAGCTGCTAAATAGCTGCTAAGTAGTTGCTGCTCAATAGCTTCTAAATAGCTGCTAAATAGCTGCTAAGTAGCTGCTCAATAGCTGCTAAATAGCTGTTGAATAACTACTAAATAGGTGCTAAATAGCTGCTAAATAGCTGCTAAGTAGCTGCTAAATAGCTGCTCAATAACTGCAAAATAGCTGCTAAATAGTTGCTGAATACCTGCTAAATAGCCGCTAAATAGTTGCAAAATAGCTTCCAAATAGTTGCTGAATAATTGATCAATTGCTTCTAAATAGCTTCGAAATAGCTGCCAAATAGCTTCTAAATAGATGGCAAATAGCTGCTGAATAAATGCTAAAGAGCTGCTAAATAGCTTCTGAATAGCTGCTAAATAGTTGCTAGATAGAACAAGGAGGTGAATGGATTCATGTGACTTTGGAATATTCTAACTGCTGACGTATAATTTTGGATTATTCCAACTGCTAGTAGGTAATCATACACTAATATACTATCTTTGTTCATGTGGGATGTGAAATGTACAGTGTGTGAGTTAGTTGACATGATATGTTTTGCATCTTTTTGGATGCAGAGGTCCCATGTCATGTGATGTTTTTTTCCGGGGCACTTTACAGATGACACGGGACTTATGCATTTTTCTGTTTTTTTCACTTTGCAGATGACCTGGGAGTTTGCGTTTTTTGGGTATGCCCGACAACTCCCATGTCATCTGCAGGTACTATAACTATGAGACACTGTAAATAATGGGATTACAACGGCATAAACCATCTACCAACTGGTGAAGGATTTCTTCCATCCACAGTAGCACAGGGAAATCAACTTTTTGCCCACTCAGGCGTGGTCAAGATATTGCTCAACATGATGTACCTTTCTTGTTGCAATGTTTTGGCGCCGGGAGCTTGCCCCATGACCAAGGTCGAGTCGGGCTTTGTCGAACTGGTCCCCGTCGACGATGCTCTGCGCGCTCAGTGGCCTTCGATGCCATCCTGGCGTCAGCTGTCGGCATGTTTTGGATCAAAGCCTCGTCATCCCTAGTAGTGGCCATAACTTGGGGGGTAGAGCCCATTTTCAGACCCTCTCCCATCCCAACTTTTTTGGGGGTTGTTGGATCCCGAACAATAGATTGGGGTACAATTTGGGGTGTTTGACATGCCAGGACGGGTTGGCCAGTATGCCCACATGGAGGCTCAATGCACCCTCTGCAGAAGCATTGGATTTTCGAACAAAACCTTTGGCCCATTCTTGGGAGGTTCAAAGCCGACAGATCCTCAACAATGAGCATGCCTTGTTGAGGGCACGGGAGCCGATATCTTAGATGACAGTGGGAGCACGTGTTTCAGATTTTTCTTTGGTGTCAGGCATGGCATCATCTAAAACACCCGGTAAAGAGCATGGGCACTGGTTGGTCAAAACTGTCGAGCCAGCCAGCGATTCTTGGGTCTGACCTCCTATTTTCATGCGTCGTTCTTTTTTGAGGGTCAGATGGCTTGATGCAAAGGCTGGGGGCAGACTGGCTGCTGCACATTGACAGTGATGAGCTGTTCTGGCCTCATTGCAGCCAGGGCCAACTCTGATGCAATCCAAAGACCTTGTAGATCCTGATTTCTTTGGGTTAATTAGCTAATTAGCCTAGTGACTAGTGTTGACTTCGGGTTCAATCGACTTGGCATCGAAAGTTGAAAGTTGCGTTTGGAATCCCAGCGTGAAGTTAGCTTATCATTCTCTTGAAATTGGTATCATGCTACCTCCTTGTCCCTGGTGGAACTGACATGGCAACGGGAACTCCTGAATGTCAAATCATAGGAGGACTACTCGCTGTGTGTATATGTAAACAAATAAGTAAATGAATGAATGAATAAATAGATAATAACGCAAAATAGATAGATAATTATATATAAATAGTTGAATTATCATATAAATAGATAAATAATAGATATAAATACGTAAATAGATAGACAAATAAACAAACATATAATTGTATATATTTCTGTGTGTGCGTGTGTGCATGACTATTATGCATATATCTGGCCTTTTCCTCAGTAGCATTGCAGATTGTTGCGCTGGAAGTGAACGGTGCACCATTTTGCCTGTCCGTTGTCCCGTGGCCGTGGTTTCCAGCGCAGAAAGAAACATCACCATGGGAATCAACTCTTGGATGTTCACAGAACAGTGCCGCAGTCAACATGTCTCCACCCATCAATCTCCCGGACACGGCTCCGGTTTGCTTTTCGAATTGACTTCATCTCACCGCTTGAGCGCGTTGCTGCACAATGGGACTTTCATTCCTCGAGGGCGTTGATGTTCAACAGGCAGGGATATGTCATACAATGTCACATACATGTGATAAATTTATGAGAGAAATATTGGCGCACAGTGAGTTCGCCATGAAATGCTTAAGCCACTAGTGCCACTTGCCCATGCTTCTGTTGCTTCTGTCCCCTGTTGGACAAACTGCTGCTTTGTCCGAGGTCTTAGCTCGAAAGGGGCGCATGGCTGCACGATGGCGCGCGGACGACTCGCTCTTCAGTGCTTTGAACCTTGATCTGGTGTCTTGGTCGGGGAGGCTACAGATGGCCAGAATCACAGATGACCTGTAGGAATTACTGTATATGATTGTATGAAGTGATGTGCTTCTCGGTCTAGTGGCTTCAAAAGGAGGTAGATTGTTCCGCAAAGGAGGATCTCGGTTCTTGCTCTTGCATCAATCCAGTCATTTTTTGGTTGGTATTTGTATTGCGCCTTTGGAACTAAATTCAAGCAGAAATTGCTGATGTTGATGATGTGCTTGTGATGGCAACCCTGTTTCAAGTTCCAAAATGTTTCATTGCACGACACCAGGTGAGTGTGTAATGACTGTAGTGTGTCCCCAGTTGTCCCCAGCTTCCTGTCATCAGGATCAGCTCCACTCCCCAAGGTCGACTTCAAGCGTCCTGAGCTTTGGAATTCGCCCTTGCTTCCCATGTTGCGGGAGCCACGCATTCTCAGCGACCGCAAGAAGGCAGCATCGAATTTCTCACCCAGAAATCGGAAATCAACCAGAGACTTCCATGAAAAGCACAGGATGATGAATAGATATGTGAAATTATTTCACCCAAAAATTTACCGCAATCCATATTTTAATTTTCACCCAGATTTTGGATTGTGGTGAGGTGAAATTTTATGTCACAGATGGTCACAGGTCCTGCCCTGGATGGTCAGCATTCGTTCCAGCTCTGGGTCACCCGCGTCACCTGAGAAGTGGGACGAGGAATGCCTGGTGGCGACATGTATGGGAATCCTATATATATATGATATATATATGATATATATATATGATATATATATATATGATATATATATAACCTATATAATTTAATATTATAACTTGATGACCTGATTGATGTTGAATAGCCATTGGTCCGTGACTGCTGTGACTGCTGGCTGCTTTTGATGATGCATGTTGGTCATTTTTGAAGGCACGTTTTCTTCCTCTTTCAGAGGATTGTTTCATCACACGCTGGAAACAAGTACGAACCCCTGCGGTTGCACTGAGCACCTCTATGTCATGATTTTGCATACGTCACTCGCCATGCTGCGACAAGGCAATCATCCAAGTTAGCAGCTGTCTTACCACCCAAAAGTTCAATCATGCATTAAGAATCAGCAAACATGTAGTCATAGGATGTCATGAGATGTCATGAGATGTCATGAGATGTCACAAGATGTCACAAGATGTCAGAAACCATCAGCCGTCGTCAGCCCCAAAAGGACCCCATCCTGGGTCACCGGCGAAGGGCACCTTGCCAGGATGGCGCCTTCCATGCCTCCCGGCAGATGTTGCTGAGCTTCCGGGTCCTCTCTCAGGTTTGGGGAGCGGAATGATGCTTGTCGGTGTGGAGATAAATCAATGAGTAAAAACAACATATACGCAAATGCATATACATATATGATTATATATGGATATACACGCACATGCTTTGCACAAACATATGCATCACCAACATATATAGTATATAGATGAACATAGATCAACGCGCATACCTATACATATGGATGCACAAACACAGATATGATTTTTGTATGTATGTCAGCATATGCCTCACTAACGTGTGTTGCTTCTCAGAATCATTGTATTTGCGGCTGTTGCTATCTCTTTATGGCAGCAGATCGAAGCACTGGGCCCGCCAGGACATGCCACCTGAAATGGTGGGATTGAAAACAGTGTTAATGCCACAAAAAGCGGTCCCTTGGTTGGATACAGCGGTGGTGCTTCTGGAGTCAGCTTTCAGCATCTTTCAGCCGACAAACTTCATCAGCTTTGGCAACTGCAGTTGCTGGGTGCACTGAGGATCTTATGATGAGACAGCAATCGGAACCCTGCCCACCGACCAAACAGTTGAGGGTCTCGATGAAGAGACAGACTTCCACTCGAGAACCCAGGACCCGAGCCTTGCCAGTACCAGTTCCTTGGGCATGAATCTTAGGATGGGATGGGATGGGTTACTGTAAATGGATTGTAATAGATGCAATATAAAAGAAGGGTAATAAGGGCTCCTCGTGGGGTGTATTTCATATTGGAGGGAACGCTTTTTTTTTTGGAAGGACCGGACGTCCATTTTGCCAGCTAGTTTGATGTTCGTCACACACCCATTTTGACCTTTCATAGGAACTTTAGTAACTTTAGTCGCGGCTCAAGAATGGAAATCTCACGCGACAATAAAATGCGTGCGGTTCTCCAAGGCCCTGCCGTTGCTTGGTTGCACCATGGGGGCAGGATGGCAGCATTGTATTTGCCACACATCCAGGTGAAGCAAATGGCTACATTTAGGTTCCTATGGTTCTGATCATCTGTAACTTACACCCTGCGCCAGACGCGTCTCCGATCTGTCTCCAAATTGCTCCTTTGTGTAGTGCCTTTGCCATTCTGCTCACATCCTTTCTTCGCGCCATGGCCCCAGATCACACTGATGTGGCACATCTCATCCGCCATGAGGACTCCTTCGGCAAATGCATATAAAGTGGGTCAGCAGGCGCAGTCTGAAATGGAGAGCCTGAAGCGCCAGGCCATTGGAAGATCTTGGGATGTCTTGGGTAGCAATTGGCACAACAGAAAATCTGCGCTCCTTTGGGTCTGGAACATTGATGCACAGCAACATGACCATCTCGCCATTTGAGATTGTTTTTTAGCATTTTAAGGAACCAAGCGTCAAGACAAACCAGCGAATGTTTTTTTTCTTCCATGATGGAACTTCCTTGCCTTTACTCGCTGTTGCTACCTTGCCGCCTGTCCACAAGTCCCTCAAGGAGGCTTTAATATGCTTAAATTCAACACTGCAGGGATTCCTGAAAGTGATGAGAGTTTGCACGGTTGAGTTTGTTCTGTGCATAGTGTAGACTTGGGCATCCGAAGTTCTTTACCTTAGAGTTTATCCCTTTTCAGACATGTATTGATGGTTGATATGATGCCAGTTTTGGTCAAAATTGAGCAGTGACCGGGCTGTGACCAAACTCAGGTTGATTGGTTATTGTAGCGGGTTATACTACCCAATAAATTGGGGATTGTCATAGTCATAATGCATCCACTGTGGGCCATGTGGGCTGATCATTTTCCAGCCTGGAAAGGGTTGCAGCACTGCCAGGTGCAAAGCTTGTTGAACAAGGTGTGCCCGGAGAACATGGCTACCATTGTGGAGAAGATTTCTGCCGTTCAGGTTGGTGTGGGAAAATGGGTGTATTGGATCATGCTTGTTTGGGATGCCAGTATTATACATACCCTCTGGATCCCTCTGGTAATTTAATATAGCTATGGAAAATCACCAAATCATCTATACATGGGTCATTTTCCATGGCTACCCGCCGGTATTCACACGCGGCTTGCTGAAAAATCCACCAGCACTTCAGCCAGATTTCCCATCGCTTCGCTCTGCCAGGGGAAAACTTCCACGTTTGATGACGCTGGTAATTAACTAGCAACTAGCATCAATCATTACAAAGCCATTATTGCCCATTATTAACCATTATTGATTGATATTACTAACTATTATTAACTATTATTAACCATTATTAACTATTGGCCATTGTTAACCATTAATGGACCATTATTGATATTATTGACCTGGAGGCTTAACCAGGTTAACCTTCCAGGGCATGGGATGATCTTCCAGATCTTCCAGGTTCAGGGCCGTGCAGAGCTGGAAGCCATCATCGAGTTGATCTTCAAGAAAGCGGTGACGGAACCTCACTACAGCCACTGGGAGCGTTTTTTGTGTTGGGAAGTGTGATTTGATTGTGATTGACAATTGAGATTCTCATAATGATGAGATGTTTGCGGGGGAATATGATGTACGAAAAAGAATGGTTTGACAATGATCTCGAACAAGTTGATTTTAAGCTGTTGGAGATGATGTTCGATACCTTCCAACAATGTGCTCGGTTTTTCTTTTTGGAATTGCATGGAACGTGGTAGTGGGGGTGAAAAGCAGGTTGGCTGCAAACCATGGCGAGCGCGGTTTTGAATGATTTTGATTGCATGAAAGGGGAGGGCTAGGGGACAAGATGAGAACTGCGCAACTCTGCGTCGATGAGGTGAAACCTACGCTGATCTGGTCTTCAGCCTGAAGTCTGTCTTCCCAGACTTCCCGGAAACTACGACCCAAGCAGCCAGGAACGGGCACTGGGTTCCCATGGAAACATTTCTTGAAGGTTCATTGTTCTTGCATCGTTTTCTAAGGCTAACAGCGCGCAAAAGGTCAAGCGGAAGCAGCGCATAGATTAAACATGGGGTTTCAAAATATCTAGGGATGGTGATTTCCCCGATAAGTTGAAAGGCTTGACCCGCTTTGGAAACAGATTCTAGCACAAGAAGATGATAGCAGATATATATATATATAGTGAAGTTGTGAATTGTGAACAGACCGGCCTCACACACACACACACATATATATATATATATACATACATACTGTTACATACTATACAATACTATATAGTTACTCAGGGTCACAGGGTCAGCCGCGCCGCTTGCACAAAACACTCGCATGTGAAAATGGTTCTCCCTACTCCTTGCCATAAGAGTTGCTTCTCCCAATCATCCCATTTAATCGCCCAATGCTGCTCCTGAGCTTTCTAAGGATACTGATGGTGGCAAACCGGTGACTTTCCGCAGTGCATTCCTTAAAACTCAGCTTGGTTCAATGGAAGGCACACATGTATCAACACACACACACACACATATATATATATATACATATACAATGAGGATGCTCAAAGGGGTGGTGATGATGGTGATGGTTTGCGGTCTGCTAATTGTTTGAGGTCGGCAAGTGCCCAGTATAGCAACAAAAAAATCGGAGCAGGAGACTGAACGCTAAGTGCTGAGGCCTGGTGCTCAATATTTGCCAGAACGAATTCGAAGAACTTCTGGCAGAATCTGCGGCTTGACGGAAAGTCGTTTGACGTGTGGGTCCTTCAATTATTGGGGCTGTTGGGTGCCATGTGTTTTTCTCATTGAATGAAGTTGGGATTTCCCAAGTATTTCAAGGTGCCATTCTAGCTGACAACAAACTGCGTGGTGCCCACACTGGTATGATTCTGTTGTCTACGCCAGCTGCTGATTTCCTAAGTTCATCTACAGCTATAGGAATCTATAGGATGGGTCATTGCTTTTGACAGCCGGCTGTGTCAAGTGCTCTTTGGACAGGAAGGGGCTTCTGAAGATGAGGATCAGGACGGTAGATCGGGTCAGGTGCAAAAAATGGGGCCAATGACCCTGCACAACCAGCAACAAAAGGAGACAGGTCCCTGGAACATGACATCGGCGAATCCACCTCAACCCCCAGCTTTGCAGCTTTGCTTGCTGCCACAGTTCCATTTTTTCTGCGACGAAAAAGGTGCAATTTGGGTACCAGGGATATCATGTAGGACAAACGGCTGAGGTTTGACTTCCGATCGTTCATGACCTAGTGTACAGGGATTGTACTTTGCCTACTTGTTTGTCCCATGTAGACGAGCTGTGTACTTGCCAGAAGGTACACCCAAACCTTTGACATCCTTTGACTCTGGGCCTTCTGTTGTTCAATGTCGAGGAACATGCGAAGAAGAGGAAGGACAGGATGTGTGCAAATATGAAGCACCTTGCTTGCAGGGGAGAAACAACTTATATGCACCCAGCACCCGCGGCACAAAGATTCGTTCCAAACGTATCCTGGGTGACCTCGTGACCTCGGGTTTTGGCCATACCGAGGTCAGGGGAATCATCCCACTGGCTTCTTTCCAGTTCGTGAATTGTACTCAATATACAGCTATATAGTTTTGCACACACACACGGATAAATATAGATATATAGACATAAGTTGCCCAAACATTATGTGACATTCATGGGAATCCGACCAATTCTCTTCTCAGAATTTCCACCTTCCAGCCGGACCAGCCCTGCAGGTTTGTTGGGTACCTGTACCTCCGTCAGTTGCTGTCGACCAAAGTCGTGGGCTCCATCATTTGCGAGCTGGTCTGCATTGGAGATCCTTGTCATCAGCGGAGATGATGGTAGCACCTCCAAAACCTGGTGCCGTAGAGTGGTGAAGCTCTTGAATTCCATTTCCGCCTAATAACATGCAGTGTTTCCATGTGATTCCCTCATGTCACTGGTTTGGTCTAAGATCATTTGCAGGCAATGTTTACCCAAAACTGAGTTCTTTTTTTTTTACATTTTTGTTACAATGCAGATAGAGGAATTCACTGCAACATTCTCCTCAAAAAACAGCTCTGGCAAAATGGGATCTACCTCTATTGCCCCTCCTGCAGGGATTTTTTTTTTCCGCACTAAGGATGAGGAGGCCAGCCCAGTCATGACCTCGGATCATGTTCAAAGGTCCAGGCCCAGGGGCCCCGGAAGCCCAAAATTCCGCCCAGGAAGAGCATGCATTGGAGTGCGCCTGTGAGTTGCTGCTCACTGCAGGCTACACGTGGCTTGGCATATCGCTGAAGGGGTCGAGTTGGGTTGGCTGTGCCGGCTGTGCCACTTGGACAATGGCTGCCATGGCCGCTGCTCAGGATGGATACTGCACCAGCAGGGCAGATTGCACTGGAGATGGCGTGCAACAGGTTGAAGGACCCAGCTGAATCAAAATCATCCCGACGGACACGGACCTTTGAAAATCAATGAGCAGGGGCCGCATGGGCTCATGAACCTGAACGAAGTACGAATGGTTGAAAATAAGTATCCACTGCCCTACTGGTTTGTAAGCATCCCATCAAAGTGAAGGACTTGAAGGTCCGGAAGTCTGAGAATGGTAAGGGCAAGTCTCTTGGATGCATCCAGAACCTGTGACAAGGCAATGCCACCCCGTCGCCGTAGTGGATATAGCTGCGGTGCTGGTGGAAGTGGTCCAGCAAAATAAAGCTTTGAACGACCTGAGGTATTGCAAGCGTATCCAGTTCATGATTCAGGACGCAAAAGGTTGAGTGCTTCGCACATGGCATACCCCAGATCCAGAACAGTGAGACTGTAACGTTCGTAATTCTCAAATCATGGTCAGTGGCACGTATGTTTCTAGATGATTCTATTTTGGTAGCGCCTCTACTTGTGAAAAGGATACCTGCATGAACCTTGCCGAACATGTTTCAGCTGCGGGACGGCATGTGGTTGTTGACCATCAACCGCTGAGAGTTCCGCCAGGATGTGCTGGAAACGAGGGCGAAAGGATGGACCAAGAAGGCAAAATGCATTTTTCGCAGGTTTAGCGGTATTTATCCTCTTGAGCCTGCACCAGTTTTCTTTGTTGTTTTCTTTTATTTTCTGACGCCAGCACTTGTAATGTCCCCAGTGACCATGAACAAGAGCTTTCAAGCAAAGATTCTCAGTCGAAGTGGCGAACGTTTTGGGTCATAGCATGATCCAATGCACACTTTTAAACTTTTAGAGATTGGATTGCTAGTTTTTGATCTCTTTCGTGTCTATTTCAAGACCCACGCCTTGTATTTTCTACTCAGTGGTTCGCTTCTACGATGCTGTGTCAACCAAATAGTGCTCCATTGGAGTTGGGCCGGTTTGGTTTGCTCACCTTCCCATGAAATCAACATACTGCTATGTCTGGAAGTTTGGGACCCCGAACTCCAATGCCGAAATTGACATGAGTCGATAGAAGTTGACTTGTTAGTTGACTTGTGACTTGATTTTTCCAGCAGTTTTTGAGACCTCCCCATTGCGGAACCACGTCGACCGAGCAAGCTCCAGGTCTTCAAAGCTACGGCCAAGACGAAGGAGGAACTGCGCAACTCTCAGGACAGCCCAGTGGTGGTTTTTGGACTGGGCAGGGCTTGGTAAATGCACCATTATTCTCATTCTCTAGGATTTTAATTTCCCTGAACAGTGTTATATATGTTGGTGTAAACATACACGCGCACGTATATATGATATATATATACATTACATATAAAATATAAAATATGCAATATACAACATAGAGTACACAGTATATAATATACTATATATCAATATATATCTATATATCATATATAATATTGCAAATAATATATAATCTATAATATATATAATATATAATAATGTGTAATGTATGATATATAAAAATACAATACAAACATATATTATTTAGTGTATATATATATGAATATCATATAACAGATGATATATATAGAAATATATATATATGCATAATTATACAATGTATATATACATAAATAATTTAACAATAAGAATCATGATAATAACATATATATATATACATATCATTATTTTTATACAATATAATACAGTATTATAGTATACTGTAATATGATTTAATATAATATAATCTAGCTTAATTTAATATTTGATATAATTATATAACAAAATCTAATATGGCATAATAAACTATGATATAACATGGTATACTATAATGTAATAAAATACAACATAATATAATAACATATAAGATAACATACCATACCATAATATAATATTATATACTATAATGTAATACAATACAATATAATATAGTTTAATGTAATATAATATAATGTAATAGAATATACTATAATATAATATATATAATGTAATATAATATAAGGTAACATAATACAGCATAGAGTATAATACAATAATAACAACAATCATAGTAGTAACAATATATATATATATATGTATATGCACATATACATAATATATACATGTATGCATTATATATATACGGCCAGCTATATATATATATATACATACATGTAATATTTTTACATGCGTTATCGTATGGACAATAAGCCCAATGCTTTCCGAGGGTAACATGAGATTTCAATACATGAGACCGACCTGTGTTGTGGCTTCTTGCCGTGACTGAGATGGTTGCTGCACGTGCATCGCTGCCACCAGGAGCAAGCTTCCGGGAAGGAATCCGTTGCAGAGCACATTGTCACAGGCCACTCTCGGCAGGGTTTGAGCTGATAGACTGGGGCATCAGTGGAGAAAAACGACTCAGCCAACTTGAGTCTCGTGGCTTCATGCACTCCGCCTGAAACTTTGGGGAAGTATGAATTGGTAGAGGTGCCTGTCATGCCCCTTAGACCAGCTCACATGTGCCTGAGTGACCAGTCATGGAAGTGGGATATGAATGGAATTCATTGGAATTCCAAGTAACTACTGCTCAATCCTAATTGCTGTACTCACGGCATTTTCAGACCATTGAGCCATGCTTTTCTCTCTTGGGATGCTGCACCTGCCAGGCAAGAGACCTGTGTACCTAGCCTAGGCCTTGCCGGCTGAAGCCAATGTGCCGCAACATTGATTGGTTGCCATCTGGCAGGGTGGAGCCAACCCTTCGTTGCACCAAGTTCCAGTCATCACGGCCGGTGCAGAAGTAGCCATGCTTTTGCACTAGGGCTCCACCCTTGCCATTTAGAACAGAAGTCACAGGAGTGCTGCGCATCAGCGCCAGGTGGGGACCAAGTTCCAATTCCAAAAAATTCCAAGGGCTGGTTTCAGCTGGATATCATTGAAAGACTTTGATATGGTGCATTCTCTTAGGAAGATGCGATGGTGCAACCCCCAGCAACACACATTACAGGAATCCGTCACCTGTGTCGCCGAACTCAGCTGAGAATCGCTGATAGGCCCGTCCAGCTTTGACACTGCGAGTAGGCAAGATCATTACACAAGCAGAAGGTGATCTGAGTACCATCCAGTCCCCAAGCGCCAGGAACGTAAGTGAACGGTGACAAATTATGATTACAGTATCAAAACCGGCCATAGATCCGAAGTTTCCCTCATGTACCGTTTTTTTTTTGTTCGATAAGGTTCTTCTTTTACTTGTCGTGGTTACAAACCATGGGCTCTTGTCGTGGTTACGACGTCCTCTCTCCCAATAGGGACACCAACAACCAATGTAGTGGGATGGGATAGGGGGTATTTTTCATGGCTCATTGACAGCAGGGGGGGGTGAACTTGGAAATTGCTGCAGTTGACAGATGGACGGTTCGAGGACGAAGCTCGTGCTGGGCGTGGCAAATTTTGGACACAAAACCATGTTGCGCTGCGGGGTACTTCAGAACCAACCATGTAAAACAGAGAGTTTCGACAAATCTATGAGGCGGTTTCCTTTCCCCACTCAAAATCGGTAGGGATCTCAGATCTCATCACAAAAAATAAAAGTGTCTCGTTGCCCCACCCGAAGGGAGTAGAGCATATATGCTTTCTATGTGAAGCATTTTGATACATGAAATCGAATTTCGGGCGATTTCACACTCTTCGGATTCATCTAAGCTTAGCCGGGGTCAGAATCGCATGGCTACGTGCGATTTTGTTGCGAAGGGAAATGTACTGTACCGTCTCTTTTGCCTTTCCGCATGTGTATAATCTGGTCATGATTCATAGCGACATTACACATTTCATGGTCACGACCTAAGGGCAGATTCCCCACCAGATCAAGCATGCTTGCTGCATGGTTGGCTACGAGGTTTCTCCGCTTCACTTTTTCAAAACCGCAGCTGTCAACAGGTTGCCAGGGTTCCCCCGGGCGAAGCATCGGAAAGACTTTACAGACTCCCAGCATCTGCCAGCTGAGAATATTTGGAAAGTTCAAACGAAGCTTCGTCGCAGCCCAGGGGCTCAACCCCGGTTCGCTTTGCGTCAGTGTGGCTCAACGGAATAAATTGCTGTGCTAGACGCGTTGGGGTAACCTTGGTAAAATTATCGATCCATCTACCTGTTCTTTCGAGTCGACAGCAGCGATACGCGTGTTTGCATGTGTATATGATATATTGTGAGTATATGACATGTATACATACACATGTATGAAGATTTGGTATACTATGAATAGAAGACTTCTCCCTCCGTCTATCCTCCCTCTCTCGCGCATAAAATAAATATATATATATATATTTATACGTATCTACATTCGCAGGTTCACACATGATTGTCTATGAACATGCACACTCAGATACATATCATCACATACTGTATCTCCAAGAATCGGTTGAAGGGACATTTTGCAGGACCTCTGATCCCCTTGGAATTTTCATGAAGCCAATCCATTGAATATCCCACCACACACAGCCCGAATCAATGCGATGATGAAACAGTCAAGGTGCACCAAGGACTCCATGGCACTCGCACAGCGCACATTTTCCGAGCAATGCAGGCGCCTCCAAATCATGGCCGTAGCGGGCGAGATGACATGCTAAGCCTCCACCTGCTGACGAAATGAATTCCTGTAATCAAATTTGACTCATCGCACTCAGAAACAGATCCTGAGACGTTAGCTTTCAAGTTTTGACTTGTTTTGACCGCTAGAGTCACAGGAATTGACCGCTTCAAAACCGGATGAGGTGCTCAGCAGCCAGCCGCCTTTGTTGCACGGATCAATGATCCAAATCCAAGGCTTGCCACCTTCCACGATGACGGCCCCGTGGGCAGTCAGATGACCTCCCTTGACACTGTGCCTTTTGGTGGCAACCAACAAGGACATTTCCCAGAAACATAACTCCGAATATCCTTGAAGCTTAAACTGTTGGGCAGTTGGAGCTCCATTTGCAGGTTTATACTAAGTTTATACAGTGTCCTCAGTATACCCCCGTGGCAGACAGGCCGACTCAGCAGTGTCACAGGTAGTGTCAATCCGTTCGTCTAGATGACGGGAAGGTGAAGGACTGATTTAACCCGGATGAATCCTTGCCTCGGTCAGCTGTTCCCCAACTCTTCAGCGTATTCGTAGCCCAGATCCAATGGTGTTTAGAGATTTTATAGCAGGACTTCAGAGTTTTTCCTCAGGAGATCGAAGCTGGACCATCACCTAGCCATCTCGTTCAATGTGTTTCTCTTATTGCGGCATATCTACTTTAGCTTCAAAAAGGTATGGACTTTTGATTTGTGCAAGTCATGGATATGCTGGTCAGGCTTTTGTGCAAGATTCATCCGGCTTGAATAGTTTAATCTGATTCCTCCCATTGATTGAAAGCTACAAAAATAAACTCCGCATTTTTTCAACACGATGAGTCAGTCGGTGTTGTCACCGACGCAGAAACTCGACTGTCTGCCAAAGCAATCCTAGTTGTCAGAGTCAGAATCATCTGCCGCGGAGCAAAAAAGGCGCCGCACAAACCCGTGCCACATGTTGTTGCCAGCGACGTGCAAAGCATTCATATCCAATTCGTTCAATGTTTCCACTTCCTTGACGGCACATCTGAGACAGCCTGAGGCAATCTAACAGAGCCCGACAGAGCCCCAAACTGGAACACACACAGGGTTCCAATATCTTCCAATGAAGTTGTTGCTGCCGGCTTGGCTCCAGCACCCCAAGCTGCACGCAGAAACTTGCGCGGCAGCCTAACCTTTGGCGCCATGAATGTGTCGGTGGAAGAGTTGAGCATTACAGTGGCAGGTGGAAGGAAACTCCTGGATGCAGTGAATTGTTTGGTCCAAGCAGGCGACATGATAGCCTTGATGGGCCCATCAGGAGCAGGCAAAACCACCCTATTGAACAGCATTGTTGGAAGACCCATTTCAGGAATTACCGAGGGGGGCATCTACTATGACGGCACAAGCTTGGCCAAAGTCAGGCAGGGTGGGCATGGCTGGCTCCATCGTGAAGTGGTTGTGGTGTGTTTGCCAAAACTCTATCAAGTATTTGCAGTGAAACCCAACATGACAATTTACTTTTTTCTTTTTGGTGGAGATGATGATAGCATGAATGTTTCCATGTCACTTGAATTCTTTGGTGCCACCATGCCACCTTGTTACGACCTTGTTACGACCTTGTTACGACCTTGTTGGGCTCATCCCGGTGAGGAGCAGCGTGGGATATGTCACCCAAGATGACATCATGTATGAGACCCTTACGCCCCGGGAGAATTTGACCTTCGCAGCAGCCTTCATCCTGCCAAAGCTCTCCAAAGAAAGCCGCAGCAAAGAGGTGGACCAACTGGTAGATCACCACTGTATGTTGGCGTGTTTCCGTAGTCTTCACATTTGTAGCGGAAAAAGAATTCGGTTCAGGTTGTTTGATATTTTCCCCTGTTACCTTGAAACGAACAGTTCGGCAGCTTTTCAATGTGTACATCCAAGGCTGTTCAGATGGGAGGTGACAAACCAATCCACTCATGAAGGACTAAGTGCAAGCCTCACCACACATCAGACTTACCACTCCAAGGCTAAGTGATTTTTGGCTTATTTCAACCCAACTAACAGGAACTAACAGGAACTAACAGCTGTTGTGAGGTGGAAAGCGTCATCGAAAAGCTGAATCTCACGAAGTGTGCGAACACGGTGGTTGGGTCGCCCGGCCTTGTACGTGGCATCTCAGGAGGTGAGCGGAAACGCACCAACGTGGCCCTGTCGTTGTTGGGGAACCCCTCACTGCTGCTGTTGGATGAACCCACCAGCGGCTTGGACTCCAAGATGTCTGACTCCTTGATGAGAGATGTGAAGCACATCACCGAGCAAGGTTGCACCGTGGTTGCTACCATCCACCAACCTTCCGAAGCAGTGTTCATGCGCTTTGACAAGGTTCTGCTGCTGGAGACCGGGCGGGCCACTGGGGCGCGAACTGGCAACCTTTAAAGTTTTGATATGTTTTGAGTCATGTCTTGGGATGGTGCTCTAATACATTGCTCTAATTTGATCATTTTGATCATTTTGTGCATATTCTACTTGACCCCAAGCAGGTGGCCCCATCACTGCCCTGAAAGATCTTGAAAGTACCCTACAGTTTAGGAAGGAAACGCATCAAGCCCATACCGCAGCATGTTTTCGCCGTGAGGTAGCCTATTACGGTGCTATCTCTAGCTTGCGTGGCTCGCTGGGCAATTTGGGCTTCACATGCCCCGAAGGCACTCCACTTCCAGAGGTTCTTCTAGATCTTCTTGAGTTGCCCGAGAAGGAAGAAGCACGTGCAGCTCACAAAGAGAAATTGGTTCAGTTGAAGAAACTATCAGACACTTGGATGTCGGCATGATGGAGATTTCTGGAATGATGTTATTGTGTTAGCTGGTGGGTATCATTGAAGCAAAGGTTGGACTATACTCTGCCATGATTGGACGGATGGTGCTTGATTTTCGTAAATATTTGTGGATGTTATGTATATATATATATATATATGTACACACGTACCTTTATTTAATTGAGAGTATGTAATATATTATTCCATAATGCCGTATAATATAATATAGTAATATGCATACATATACATGCGTGTCCTATACATATTGGTGCTCACACTCGCGGATTCGCATCTTTCACATGCCATCCTTCAAGCAGTTTTATTTGGTATTTGTTGATTTCTGTGAGCTTGCAATGTCATATATTCTTCGTTTTCTCCTGCAATATTTGCAAAGCTCAATTTCTTTTTAAAAATGACCGTCCATACTCACTTGGACTGGCTCGTTCAATTTGAGTTTGCAATGTGTTTTTGATCATTCAATTCTTTTTTTTTGTGGTGGACTCTCCTACTAACTTGTTGTCTTTTGGTCCCATTGTCCACGTACTGTGTCTTTGGGAGTAGATGAGAGTAGTCGATGAACATGGCAATCGGAAAATCTCAGGCCCGCCTCTGAAGTTTCATCTCCACAAACTCTCAGTCACAACCAAGATTATTTATGATTATATACTTCAAATGATTCGCCACCCCACTTACACCCACTGGTAAGTGTCCCATTGTGAGGATAGTAAACATGACTTCTGGATGCTGGTTGCTGAGGACATCTCCTCTGCCGATAAGGGCTCTCCCACCAATCAGAAGCACCACCCAAGCGCGCGGGAATCTGCGGGCAGGTGGTGGTACTGTTCCAGCGGGAGCCTTTTGGGAGGGCATGGAGGGCCTGGCATGGCATTTGGGACACTGGGGATATCCGGAATATCTAAGGGTTTCACAGGATTTGGTGCACCTTGAAATGCTGGGAAATCATTGGCCAATCATATTCACTCCAGGTATTTTCAATGATTGTAAGATGGATGGAATCCTGGATGGACAAGGCATGAGACTACACCCCTCCTAGTTCAGCAACATGCGGCCATCAGGAGCTGGTGAACGTGAAACGAAACAAGGCCCTGACGATTGTGCGTGCAGTCCAGTCAGTGGCATCCTCACTTCTGATCGGCTTGATCTTCCTGCAATTGGAACGCAACATGTCAAGCCTGCAGCCGCGCTTGTTCTCCAGTTTTCTACTGGTCTTTGCCCAATTCCTCTTTGCCTTGTTGGGGGTCGTCAATGCATTCCCGGCAGAGCGGGCAGTGTTCCTGCGCGAGACACAGGACAAGCTCTACCATCCGGCCGCGTTCTATTTTGCCAAGGTGGTCATTGACACCATCATGCAATGCTTATTCCCCATCCTGGTGGTGGCCATCAGCTACCCACTCATCGGCTTGAACGGGGAATCAGCTGATCGGGTCCTGTGGTTCTATGCCATCATGGCTGTGGTCTCGAATTGCGGTGCTGCGGTGGGCTTCATGGTCTCAGCAGCCGTGCCCAGTGTGAACCTGGCCCTGTCGATTGCGCCCGGGCTGGTGATGCCACAGCTGCTGCTGGCTGGCATCTTCATCAAGGTGGATGGGTGGATCCAGCAAAATCCCGGATGACTTAAGGGATGAGAGATGCATGAACACTTGCGCACTTTTCGGAAAAAAAAACAACCAAAAATTGGTTTCAATTTTATGCCTTCTTTTTTATGCCTCATCACATATTTGTAAGACATGTGTTGGAAGAACTACCTCCGTGGCACCGGTAAAGACTCGTAGAGCAGGGGAACCTGGAGAATCCCAATGCCCTGACAGGTAGAGGATTTACCGCAGCCCTTCAATGCCTTGAGCTATCTCATGGTAGCCCGCTATGCTGTCCAAGCCACAGAGCCTTGTCCCCACTTTCGAGACAAAATCATTTGAGCCCTACAAAGTTCCGTAAAGTTCCGTACGCACGACATAGATACAGCAGTTGTGAAGATGACTCATTGATGGCTAGCTTTGTCAAAGCAACCTTGCTAGAGACTGTAAAGAGGTTTGATCTTGAAGTCCATCCGTCTGTACACTTGTCCACACCTTTGCGGTTCCCCTTCGATCCATCCATTTTTGAAGTACCACATGGAAGATGCCTCCCATGATTCAGCAACAAAGACTGCCAGACATGTCACTTGAACAGTGGTGGCGCTGCAAACGAGTGGGTCCCGTCCGTTTCTCCGGCCCGTCAGGTGGTCAATGAGTTCAGTTGCTCGGAGAAAACGGCCTGCGATCCACTGGTGTGGCGAACAAGCTCACCAGATCAATGCGGCGTGTCTCCCTGTGACTTTTGTTGCACCTCTCATGAGATGATGGCAGCTGGGGGCATTTGCCCAGTCTCTCGGGCTGGTTGGTGCATGGGTGGGATTTTCTCTTGCCACGGAATTTGAAACGGGCACACCTTCGTTGCCTTTGGCGTATCAACCCCAGCCACACCTCACAACTATCCATTGCCTTCTCACCTTGAGGTCTTGTCGTGCAATCATGCCTTGACGAGTCTGGGGATGGATGATATTTGGCCAAAGAGCGAGACTTCACATGAGGACAGAGAAGAACACAGCCTGACAACAAGTAACCGAAGCAACACAGCCTCACAGATTTTTTGGTGTTTGATCCTAGGCTGATGGTGAATACATGGAGTCTCCTTCACTGGACGGAGATACGGGAGTGCATGGATGAATAGCCTGACAACAAGTAACAGAAAGCGGACGACTGGACACAATTTTGACATAGATCTTAAAGCGAAAGGCGACAGGGAAAGATTGACAAGTCAAAATAATAGACTAATAGACATAAATGATATAGATGCCGTACCGGAAACTAAAATGTCAGAAGGAGAAGGAGAAGGGAGTGTCAGTAGTAATGGTCAGTGCAGAAAGAGTGGCTGCAGTCCCTGCAATGCCACTTCACTTTTCTTCCGGATTTTTTGCCCATGCATCCACTTGCCCTAGTAGTGCCAACGTTGCTTCGCAAGGGGTGGGGGTGAAGGTATTTTGAAACTAGTAGTGAGGTGGTGACAGCAAGTAATGGCTCACTTCAACCTTGGAAAAGTTTTCCGTGTTTTGGCTCGGGCTCAATTTGTATCAGCTAGTCTAAGCCGCTCGGAGAGGGTCAAAACAGCATCCGACAGCAATCATCCAGTTCAGATTGCTGGATTCTCATTTTTTTCTCTTGGGTTTTTGGATGGCAGGAGACCATCCTCTTCAACATGATTGCCTTGCTGATCTTGATGTGTTTCTTCCGGCTGCAGGGTCTGAACGTCTTGCTGTGCAGCTACCGCCGCGCCACCACAGGCAGCTGCCTGCCGTGCCGTGGCACCGCAGCCGTGGGGCCCGGCCCGGTGAGGCCGCCCAGCGCCGCGCCGTCGCCGAAGGCGGAGGTGCCAGTGTGATGCGACCATTGGCATCCTAAGGCCCTAAGGCCCTAAGGCCTATAAGGATGCGGGTGCCGCAAGTTTGATAGAGTTGGAATGAGTTGGATAACTGGATAACATGCCCAAGGCGACCTGTAAGGCGACCTGTAATGACCTGTAGCTGGGATGGGATGTCGGATGCTTTCTTTTTTTGGTGTAGAGTTGTTTGACTGCATTGACCAAACATGACCCCGAGTACTTTAAGAAGATTGAGGACCTTCCCAGCTGTTTGCAGTGCAGTGTTGCTTACTTGGCGCCTTGGTCATCCAACATCCGCGGTAAAATTTTAGATTGTGCTGACATGGCCCTGGAAACCTGATGGGCTGTGTTGAACCGATCAAGCTGCCGGGTTGGGTTCCCGTGGCACATCGTGGTACAGTTTCATTGCAGCCCACACGTGGTGTCCTTGCCTTCAAGCATGGGGTAGCAAGAACATTTTTTTGCTTGCGTTTCCAAAGTCTAATCTCAACAATGAGCGGATGCGATGAATTGATGCCTTACTCAAAACTCCGATTTCTGGACTCTTGCCACCCCAAGTACTGTTGTCCCATATCCTGCACGCGGAATCGCGTGTTTCAGATCCTCTGCCACCCTTGATGGCTTGCAGATGGCTGGATGGAGCATATGGAGCTAAAGTCAAACTGGCTGCCAGAGTGGCGCATCATAGTGCAACTCGCTTGTCCACTGAGCGACATTCGCCGCATTACAGGCACATACTGCATGTGACATGTGGCTTCATAGATGAAAGAGAGTGACAGAATGATCAGAATGCATCGATGAAGTATATTTACAAAATCAGGCTTTGTCCTTGACCATTCTCTTGAACTGGTGACTGAGCAGTTCTGTGATCGTCTCAGGCTGTGCCTGCCTACTGTGGCTCCCAGTTTCTTCAGCGGCCTCACATCGCGAGGCCAGCTTGCACCTGCGGATAGCCATCAAAAATCCAGAGAGAGAGAGAGAGAGAGAAAGAGAGAGAGAGAGAGAGACCCTGAGATTTGGGTCTTTTCCAGTATGGAAATGCTTTAAAACATACCAGTTTTGAATACTCAGATTGATGCATGGCATACCCAAATCAATTGAAACTGGTCCAGTAGAGGAAAACCATTAGGTTTTTTCTGCTAACCGATGCCGCCTGCGAAGGCTGCACTATGTCCTGAGCTCAGGAGAGGTAGCAGGATGGCAAGCCAAACATGGCAATTTTGATGGGGAAAATGCAGGACAATGATGAACATGATGATCAAGCATCAAGCTGGCTGATTTTTAGGGGTTTTATGTATATATATATACAATTACACACGCACACACACACATATATATATAATTACATATATATATATAATTACATATATATATAATTACACACATATATATATAATTACATATATATATATATGTGTATACACACACAAACACACACACATATATATACACATGCTATCCATAATCTTCAGACAAAGCCACCTGTTTGAAGATCCCCGTGACGGGGAACCGTTGTGGGCCTCCACCGCACAACGCCCTCCCCGCGGATGAAGAGTAAGGTACACTTTTTGCAATGTGAGGAGCTGAGCTGGACCCGGGTGACGTTTGGTGCGGCTATGTGCGGCTATTCCAACCTCCAAGAGGATCATCAACTGTCATAGTATAAGTATGTATAAGTCATAGCCCCAGTGCCTTCTCAGAATACTGTGAGCTTGTTTGGATTGCAAGGCGTCAGCCGATCAAGCTTCTCAGAACTTTGGAATGAAGTGCGTCAGATCAGCATTGCTGGTGTTTTTTTGTTTTTTAAACAAGATTCAATACGCCTCAGAAGGCAGGACTTTGCAACAGAGCGCTGATCGGAAATTCTTACTGATATATTATGCCCACTACAGTAGCAATTCGCACTATCACTATCAGTTGTATCTATATACACGCTCTTTCATTCATTTACATTCAGGATGGTCAGGATGGCGCTGTGCCCTAACTTTGTCCCCAAAACACTTAGCCGATGGCAGGTGGAAGGTGTACCATCAATGGCCGATTCCACGGATGTGCTCCAAAGTGTCCGGTGTGACAGCTGGGCTTTTGGCAACATTTGGCCAGCTTGGGGCAGAATTTTCTCCTTTTTTTCCCACTTACCAGCTGCCAGACCTAGCCAAGTTGAATGTTAGGCCCAGATGCCATTGCAAGCCTTGCAGGTGCGCTTCTTCCGACAAAACATGGGCCTAGTACCTCGAAATCCAGCTGCAGGACCCGCTGAGGATAGTTGCTAGGAGCAGGTACTGGCCTCACATGAAAAGCTCCTTTGCAGAAAGGCCCGGATTTTCCCTCAGGTTTGGATGGGACAATGCCTAAAGGTCTCTTGGCTTTATCCTCGATGATCTGTGATGACCATTGATACTGAGCTGCAGCATTTGTGGCCAGGAAGGGCGTTCTTCCAATGGCAGTGCTGGGCTGAGGGTTGACGTGCCATGTTCATTCTGGAAGGACGTGTTGAAAGAAGGGCTAAGGCTTAACTATGCTTAACTAGTTTTGCTTTGGGATCTTTTATTTTTTTTGGGGGTAAGTTCGCAGAATACCTAGCCACCATGAGTGGAGTAAAACACTGCTAGATCAGACTGCTTTCTAGCGGAGATGAACGCATATCTGAAAGCCTACTCCTGAATGGAAGGAGTTGAAGGAGGTCCTTGGTAGATCACTTTGCGATACGAGGCGTTCAAATGTTTTCAAAAACTGCTGAATGGTGAGAACAACAAAAGCTCCACAATTTGCTCAGCCCAGGGTGAGGCTCGGTGGCTGGTGCGGTCCCCAGCACTTGGGCAGGCATGGTGTCAAGTTTGGAAGCAAGCTACAGGCTCACAAGCAGTAGATGTTTCCAATTTCAATGGTGTAAAACATTCTGATGTACAGTATCGACAGAAAAATAGGCAACTGCAGTCCATTATCATCAACCAAGTTATTGAGTTTCTTTAGTGTGAGACACTCATTCTTGGGTCACTGTGTTTGCCTCAGCGGCTGAGATACGGTCACTTTTTGTTTGTGTCCTCAAACACCGCGTTTGTATGGTCCACTTTGGTTGCTACAGCATATGCACCTGCAGCATATTCATGAAAGGGTTAGGGCGAAGAATGCAGATGTGGACCTAGGGTATCTCGGAGGGAGATGCCACTTTTCCTCCTGGGGGTCCCACTGGCTTGAAGTGAAGCTTCCAGCTTCCAATCTGTTCTTCTTGTTTGCCACCGTTGCGGTGGCACAGCTTGCAGGTTCATATCCTACGAGAACGGCAAGACCGCCGTCAGCGTGAAACACGCTGTGCCTGGGGTGCTCAGCCAAGCTGCCAAGCTGTGGCCTGTTCTGCAGAATTGGAATTCTTAGTATCCACACCATCACTGCCATCAGCATAATCAGCATAATCAGCATAATCAGCATAATCAGCATAATCAGCATTGTGATGATGATGATGATGATGATGGTGATGATGATGGTGATGATGATGGTGATGATGATGCTGATGATTCTGATGATCATCATCATCATCACCATCATCATCATCAGCATCATCATCATCATCATCATCATCACCACCATCATCACCATCATCATCATCATCAGCAGCATCATTATCACCACCACCATCCACACCATCACCATCACCATCACCATCATCATCATCATCATCATCATCATCATCATCATCATCATCAGCATCACCATCATCATCATCATCATCATCATCATCATCATCATCATCATCAGCATCAGCATCAGCATCATCATCAGCATCATCAGCATCAGCATCATCAGCATCAGCATCATCAGCATCAGCATCATCAGCATCATCAGCATCAGCATCAGCATCACCATCAGCATCGTCAGCATCAGCATCATCATCAGCATCATCAGCATCATCAGCATCATCATCAGCATCATCATCATCATCATCACCACCATCATCAGCATCATCAGCATCATCAGCATCATCATCATCATCATCATCATCATCATCGTCATCAAAACCATCCTCACCATCACCATCACCATCATCATCATCATCATCATCAGCATCATCATCATCATCATCTTCATCTTCATCTTCATCTTCATCGTCATCTTCATCTTCATCTTCATCTTCATCTCCTTCCTTTTCTCTTGTTGAGTGGCTGCGTAGAGCCACCTGGAAGCAGGTTGAAATATCGCTGATGCACCCTCGACATCTCCCAGCCTCCCAACACCAATTTCAAAGCTTGTTTGCAGTTTCTGGTATTGTAGAGTCTGCAGACGAGGAAATGCCTCTCAGTGTGCATGTGGGAGGCGCTGCACCGGAGGGATTCGGGCAACATGTGGCGGGTGGGGGGCAGATCGCATGCTAAAGAAAAGAGCGGCCACGAGGAGGAATTGCTTCGTCTGAAATTGACACAAGAAATCCAGGGAGCAGATGGATGCAGATGGAAAATGTATCTATTTTATTCTATTTTGCTATGTCAATGTCCGTTTTTGTAACTTCTCTGGCAACTCGTTTAAACTTTAACTGAACTCAGATGTTTTCCTCCTTGCTGGACTTGCACAAGCACGTTTCCGAAAGCAAGTCTGCAGAAATGCGATGCCTATACGCTTGATGCATGCCTACATTAAATTGCAATGACAATGACTACATGACTACATCGCATGACTACATGTTTGCACATGCCTGCGCCACCTGCGCACAGACAGGTAAGAAACACTTCCTTACAGACACAGTCAGGCTCGGCCGCAGCTGGAAGAAGGGAAAGGAAAAGAACCTGACGGTTCCACCTGCACCTGGCAACGCGCTCAGCATGGTACGGAACACGGGGCCTGGGACTGTAGGTCATTTATGTTGGGAATGACAACCATGATTCATGATTGTTCTTATGGTGAGGGATGCGTTCTCATTCAGCCTATCAGCCTATCATTACTGCTGTTTCTGACTTGTTTGAAGCCAAGTCAGAGCTTCCATACGCTCAAGCAGCTGCATTGGTCAAGACATGTCAAGACTACTGTATGTGACATCATTCAGGGCAGTGTCTTTGGGTTTCTTTTTTTCTGGAAGGAGAAACTTCATGCTGTTGGTTATTGGCTCCAGCGCGATGCAAATAGCTTGAGTCTACCAACGCAGCGCCTGAACCAACATTTCCTTGCTGATGGGCGCTTACAAAGCAGCCATTGCTGGGCTGCTCTTGAGGCAGGTCTATATCCACGTTTGCCGAGCAGTCCGATCAGTGAATTGTCTTGATTTGTGTCTACAAGGAGCGTTTTGGACCTCAAAGTTCCCACGAACCCAGAGTGTTTTTTTGGCAGTTGGAGCACGTTTTGATCATGTTGCTACTTAGTTCATCTGAGTTCAACTTTGCAGTCCTTCGAGGCTTTGCCATGGGTGTACGAATCTGATTGTTTCGCCTGGAGCGTCCGAGCCTCAGATCTTGGACTCCATGAAGTTTTGTGACTGGTCTTGGGCATCCAACAAAACAGTAACACCCGGTCCTTTGGGGATTTCTGTTTCTGTTGGGAATAGCGGAGTTGAACATTTTGGTTCTGTGTTGTGAAACCTCCCAGGTCAGCAGATGGCTCCACGCTCTTTTCCTACACGGCGGATTCTGGTAGCCTGTATCTTTGGGCTGCATGCAGATTTTCATCCGCATTTCGTGGCCATTGAGCACTGCCAGGGATCAATGACTAGTCTTCCCCCCAAGGTATGGCACCTTGGGGCACTACCCGGCTGGAAAGCACCAGCCTGGTGAGAAGCGACAGATTTGGGACTGGGACTCTGGGAAATACCTGGGTGAAATTGACGAGGTGCCCTACACCTACAACGTGTCTTGCTTACTGCCGCTATCTTCCGCTGAGGGTTCCTTCCAGGGTGCAACTGACTGACCTTTTGGCTTTGAGCATGAGCTTGACATGTTCAACATAATCTGACAGTATATAAACTCATGATAACTCATGTGCATTAATGATCCTTCGTGGCATTATATAATGCCATTTATGATATACCACCAATATTCCCATTGTTATTATTGTCAATTCATTTACTACATATTACCGCCATGATCGGCCATCATCCCATAAACATCACCATCGATGCGACTGAGGTGATCGGCAACCTCAACGAGCACGGCCTAGCCATTGGCGAGACGACCTTTGGAGGCAATGTGACTTGGATCCGACAAGGTCGTTGGTTTTTGGACATGAGATGCACCCCAAGAAATCGAAAGAGGGACGCCGCCAGGGCACCATTTTTAAGTGTTTTTTTTTAGGTATTTTTAACTATTTTTATGTTTTTTTTTTTTTTGGGTTCGACTTTAGCCACATCATGTTTCATAAGCGATGATGATCATCAATCTTTGGATAGTTTTTTTTACATTCTTGATACATATTTCTTAAACACACTAGCGTTATCATCACTATCACAAGGTACAAATGTATCCACATCAATAAGAATAAATTATCTATCTATACACACATATATATATATATATATCTATATGCAATTCAGAAAGTAATCTGACTATACTGGAATTTGAACTAATTCATGAATTAGTCTACTAATTAGTAGGGTTGCTCAAGGCTTAGGCTCCTGTATATGTATATATATTATATTATATTATATTATATGATGTGATATTATATTATATGATATTATATTATATGATATTATATTATATTATACTATATGATATTATATTATATGATATGATATGATATTATATTATATTATGATATGATTTGATATGATATGATATTGTATTATATTATATTATATTATATTATGTTATATTATATTATTATATTTATTGACAATACAATAATAGACATCTAGTTGAAGCAATGTGTGTTTTCTAATATTTTACGATGATTATATGTGTTGGTTGCTGTATAAATATATATATATATGTATGTATATATTTTCATGTATCTATGATGTGGTTTCTTAATGATATGTTACATATGTATAAGATGATTGGAATGATTTTCATTTTCATAGGATCAACGGAAAGGTAACAAAGATATTACGCGTAATTCCCCTTGGCTATGTAATATTAGTATTGACTTATATAATTGCTTTTATAATACTATTATTTCTGTTTAATATATTTGAGCATCCTGAGCCTGAAACTCGTCGTTGTCCATGTCGAACCTGGGCCGGGGCTGTTGTTGAGACAGCTTAATTGTCATAGCTACAAATATCCGATTTTTTTGTATTATACCTCGCTGAGGTCCGCATTGCAATCTCTTGGAAATCTTAGATCGATTTTTTAAAAGCAATATAACTCAGCTATTACTAAGTCTATAGTATCTATTCAACCATTTCTCCCATACAACAATACTAAACAGTTACAGGTTCAGTATCTCCGCAACACCACACAATTCCATCTCCCCGCGTCAACTTATCCAGCCAAGTAGCAACTAATTGATCATGATCTTGTCCACGAAAGCTTGATGGTGGATGCTGGGACTACTAATGAAAAATAAAGGTATATGTATATTTTAGACTTTGTTACATTCTGAAATGATTTTTGTTTTTCACTCTATATATGCAGTATAAGGGAGGGCTTCGAAAAAAAAGAGTGTGTATATATATGTATATATATATATTATATAGAGAGAGAGAGAGTCGAAGGGAGGGTTTCGAAAAACAAACTAATGTTTTTGTACATATATAGAGTCTAAGGAAGTGTTTCAATATATATATATAATTGACTAAGGGAGGGTCCCCCCAATGCCCCCCAAAATGTATATGTATATATATATATATTTGTATATTTTTTAAAATATGCTCCCTAGGATCAATCACTTTCTTTCTATGCATTCTGAAGCTTTAGACTTTCCAAGACGCTCTATATAATCAATCAAATTTATTCTTTGTTCAAAAGTCAAACGATACCTTCTTGGATACTCAATCAGAAAGCTGTAAAGCAAACACATTTTTCTTCTAAATGCGTTTTTCTTAAACACACCTCAAAACACTGCATTTTTAGACACGTGGTAAATTGGGGCCCTCCTGGCGTCCTTTTCTGAAGAAATCCACCATTTTTATAGGGGAAATATGGGAAAATATAGGGAACATGTCCGAAAATGACATGCTTCGTCTGTATGAAACCTCAGAACAAAACGACAAAATCATCCGACAGACGTGATTTCATTGATTTCCAGTATCGGGATGTGTTGAAGCCCGGAATGATGCTGCAACCCTCAAAAAAGTGAAACACTTTTGAAGATCTCCGGCCATGAGGAGACCTTGCACGGAGGCACTGGGGTCATGGATTATGGGAACCTCATCTGGATCACTCTGCAGCGCTCCAAGACGGCGCGCGAAGCCATCCTGACCTTTGACCAGTTGGTCAAGGACAGCTCCTGTCCTGTTTCCAACAGCTGGCACATGTTGCTTATGTATTGTATGTGTATGCTTTATAGATACATATTCATTTATATTATATATTCCGAATATGCTGTACACAATACATGTTATATCGAATATCTATACCCATACTCAGATAGTACACATGTATATGTATACGCATATACATCACACAGGCACACACACAGAGATGCAAGCAGATAGCCCAGGAGTACGGCTACGTTTCAGAGGGCGAGTCCTTCACCATTGCCGATCCGCATGAGGCTGGTTCAAACGTCCAACAAGATCTGGGAACAGAACCTGAATTTTCAAGCTCTTTTCAGGTAAGGTGAAGATCTTGGGTCAAGTTCCGGGCATTGAAGCCAGGGCGATACGTTTCACTGGACATTCCATGGCCGCAATGGCCGCAATGGCCGCGGCCGCGAGGTCTGGATCTTGGAGATGATCGGCAAGGGTCACGTGGAGAAGGGCGCCGTGTGGGTGGCCGTTCGCGTTCCAGATGGACATGTCAGCGGACACGCCAACCAGGCGAGAATCCAGCAGTTTCCTCTGCATGATGCTGACCACTGTGTCTACTCCTCGGATGCCGGGAGCCCAAGATAGGCAGGTCGCTGAAAGTCACGGCCAGATCAGTAGACCAGTGTGGGCAACGATTTTTCATAGATGTGAGCTTCTTGGATATTATGTTTCCATCACCACAACTGGCGTAGGGTCAAGTTCTCCGTCAGACCAATGGAATGACTTTTAGGAAAATCATGTCTGAAAAGTTTGTTGATGGGCACCAGATGACACCCATCCTCAGGTCATCAGCTTTGCAGAGAAAGTTGGGCTCTGGGATCCGCAGCGACCACAAGAGGAATTCAGTTCCTTGGAAAGGTGACCTTTTCACCAGATTTCCAGGGTCCTTGTAAGAAAAGTGTGTGCTAGAGACGGAGAAACACATCACCCGAACAAGATGTGGTGTTTAGTCCTCTCATGAAGGCTGAAATCGCCGAGGTTCTACTGTTTGGGGTTGAGGGGTCCTCAATTCTCGCTACCACACTCATATCTCCAGATACTGCGACAATCTTTAGTTGTCGGTTCAAATTTTTGTATCAATTTCCATCTTTTCACGGACCTGCTGATGCTTCGAGTCCTTCGGTCGTTGAGTCCTTTGATGCGGATAAGCATGCCGGCAAACGAAGTGAGAGTACGACACGAATGAATGAGTTGCAAGGTGAAATAGACCTGACTGGTTAAGAGCCAGTTGTGTTGCGCATGGTGCCCTGACCCTTCCGTTGCTTGACAGATTTGACAGCGGTATCATTTCCAGAGCTCAATGCGTACTGGCAGGTTTCGCGGACACCTATGATCCCATTAGCTTCACAGGCAGGGAAGGGGATGAAGCCGCTGGATTCAACGGATATTCCTGACGCATCCGGATGCCGTTGGGAGATGAACATGGAACATGTTGAGTCATGCTGTTGATGACGTCGTTTGGTGATGATCATGATGATGATGATGATGATGATGAGGACGACGACGACGATGAGGATGAGGATGAGGATGAGGGGTATCAGTATGAGTATGAGTTTCGGTTGCTGATGATGACAAAGAATTCACCTTTCTTGGTGCGTGGTGGAATAGCATATACATGGATGTGGTGATGTGGGTGGTTTGGTAGGTGCCCGTCTCAGCGATGCCCGCGTGTGGTCCTTTCTGTCTGCCGTGGCTGCTGATCGCAGCTTTGAAAAGTCTTACGCTGCTGAGCTGATTCTGATACAGTGGATGTTTGATATCCGCTCTTGAGATCCTTTTAGTATCTTTTAGTGAGTTTTCTGCGCAATAGGCTCAAATAGGCAGGGGTGGCATCACTGAAAGGTCACTCTTCTCCAAAGATACCTGGCAGGTCAAACAACAAGTGACCACCAGTGACCATCAGTGACCATCAGTGACCATTGAAGACCCAGAAACATGGCTTGCCAAGTCACGAGGCTTGCGTGCCAGCCTTTCAGACGGGGCAACTCAGGAAAGCTACGTGCTGGGCCACAATGTATCTGCCAGAGCGCGCATGCCATTGTCCATTCCAAGTGGGGTGAAGATCTCGCAGGTGGATTTGATGTCCCACATGCGTAACCACTATGTGTCTTGCCTGCGCATTGGTACACAACGCTTTGACAAGACTCTGGTAGCAGAGCTGCATTGAGCTAGGCACGCAGCTAGTCGTACATTAAAGGCTGAACAGGAGCCGACAAATTTCAAGAAGCCTAGCTGCCTATTAGCAAAGACTCTTTTGTGCTCACCTGCACTTCTTGAATTTGCGGATTTGCTGTGCGCAGAATGTAGATGCACCATCTAAATCCAGCAAATCAGGATGCAGTTAAAGTTGAGGAGGGCTGAGCAAAGTCTGTAAGCTTCTATATTGCACCCCAGTGTCCCACATCAAATACACCACATCTTTGAATCCCCACCTTGTAGGAAGGCACCGCATTGGATTCTCGCTACGATGTTGGTGCAGGCTGGGGTTGGCCTTGTTGGTTACTGTCGGTTGAAGGTTGGAGTTTGATGGCAGTTGTTTGGAGCTTTTGCCCACCTGAGAGAGACCCTTGTGTTGCCATGGCAGGAGATTCCAGTTCTCCCTTCCGTGTGCGCCCCTTGGTGTGGAGTGATGGCGACCAACAATACGTGCACGAGCGCAATGTGGGTACCCAGCAGGCACACCCTGCTCTGATGTGGTGCAATTCAAAATCAGCAGTGGTCCGTTTTTGGTGGATGATGTTGCCCTGTCCTGTCAATTCTTTGCCTGCAAGCTAAATATTGCTCGCGTGAACAGCACGTCACTAGTCGCAGTGCCAATGACTCTGGGGGGCCAAAGCTGGATTCACTTGCAGCTTTCCATTTGCAGGTCGAATGCATTTCCGATTCCTACACAAGACTTGCTTCCTACCATTTTCTGCCCATCAGCAGCAGTTCGAAATTGCATTCCGTTCCGATTTGACATCACCGTGGCATGGCAGTTAAAAGCAGCTGTTTGATGCTCAAAGTAAGGTTTCCGGAAGGTGAGGGGTGCCAGCACGTCCACAAAGGTGAGATTAACTTCAAACAGAAGTTGAATATTTAGTTATGTTCAAAGGAGACACAGATGTCCTATCTCCAAACCATATCACACAAGCATTCTTTGTGCAAGCCAACCTTCGACGTAGATGACGTGCCATGTACGTCCTGTGCAGACCTGTGTGGTCAAGCGCTGGCTTCATCCTATCATTATAATTTGGGTGGCTGTGCTGGGGCTAGGGCCGCTAGGGCACAGGGCTGCAGACAAAGGAGCTGCTGCATTCACGGCTTCTGGAAGTCGTCCAAGATTGGCATTTGACCGTTTCGCAGGGGTCCAGTGGCCTGTGCGTGCCGTTGATAGCTCAGTGGACAGAGAAGTTGCTGATTTCGTAGAGGATGAGGACGAGTTAATGGCCATGCTGATGTCTGGCACAGGGGATGAGGTGGATATCCTGGGAAACGGTAGCTTGATCAAGACCATCATCCAGCCGGCGCCAGCATTCAGCCGCCGGCCTCAACTAGGAGATGAAGTGACAGTGCATTTTGTGGCTTGACTGCCTTGACGGCCTTGACGCTGTGAGTTCAGAGGCACTTTATGCATCTTTATGCTTCATAATCTTTCTAATGTGTCAGGCTTTGAGTGCCCCAAATCTGCACATGTGTAACTGTATGTGTGTCCATACCATCCTTTTCTCATCTTTTCTCTCTGCGAACATATTTGCCTATGTATGCGTAGAGTATAGAGTTCAGTAAATTCTTTCTTGCAGGTGCTGTAGTCAACGCAATATTTCGATTGACAGTCAAGTTGAGACAAACAGTGTTGACCATGCGCGTTTTTTTTCTCCCAATGAATCCATTAATAAGAAAAATGTCATCTACAGGCATCCCCCAAAGACTTGGACGGGCGAAAGGTGCGTCCTGAAATTAGAGACCCAGCCGAACGTTGACATCAATATTCAGATTGTTCAGTGATGTTCAATGATGAATGACGATTTGGTATGATTTGGTGATATATCATTGATATCATTGATCAATGAAGTACCACAGTGATCCGTAGTGTATCCAGATCCCAGGGATCCCTGGAGATATCTGGAAATTAAGGTGGGAACCCTCGAGGATGGTACAGTCTTTGACGACACCAGGGCTCGCCACGAGCCGTATACCTTTCGTGTGGGTCTGGGCTTTGTCATTGGTGGCTGGGACAAAGGCATCCCAACCATGATGAAAGGCCAGGTTCTTTGCGACTATGGGTCAGGTGGCTTGCAGGTTGCTTTGCCATTTTCCGACATGAACATGTCACTGTTTCTGTTCTGACTTAATTGGGGCCATTGCAAGGTATATAAGGGATTCTTGCCATTTGGCTTGCCCCGATTCAGGGGAACGGTCTCTCTTCACTATGGATCCTTCAGTGGCATATGGAGTTGCTGGTGCTGGTTGGAAGATACCTCCCAACGCGACTGTAAAATTTGACATTGAACTCTTGGGATGGGAAACTCGGCAGTGTGTTTTGCTGAGGTTGTGAGGGAAGTTGCCGGTGAAAGAGTTGGGATACGTCCAGCGACATTTTTTGGGGCAAAGATTGGTGCAAGGTCACTATTAAACCCGCTTGGTTCGTTGGAGCGACCTCAGCAGGCCACACAAAAAGCAGTAGAGTCATCTGCCAGCAAGGCCCCCCTCCTTCAATTGAGCGGGAGGCTGAAAAGGCGGATCAACCATCCCAAAAAAAAATCGCTGTTCCTGCCATCAATTGCCATGGATCGATCTGAGGAGGAAATCGATGACATGGGGCCTGATGACATTGAACCCGAATGGGAGGCTCCACTGGTGGGTCGAGATGATGTCGGCTTTGGTGGCAAAGATCCACTGGCCGGAAAGTATACTTGGGAGAGAAATGGTGCCCTGGATCCACTTGATCCAGCCCCAGACCTTCCGCTTGAAGTAACTGAGACAATAAATGTAGGGAAACAACAAGTCGCAAATACCTATAGGTCGTGAAAATCTCCAACTTGCCAACGTGAAACGTGAAATTAGATAAATTTAAATGTTATTTGCAGTGCCACTGGTAATCATTACTTTCAAAAGATAGGGGGAAAAAGCAAACATCAATCATAAAAACATTTGTTCCAAATTGACTTAGCCAGATCTAAAATCTTCTTACATTTCTTCAGTCTCGAGGTGACTTTCCCAGTTTACTGGTTGACATTGGTTGACTTTCCCAGTTCTCCGTAGTTCTCCGTGTTAAGGCCTTGAGGTTCTGGTGAAGGCTCAGCTGCCGGACGCGACGCAGCCGCGGGACGTGCTGGCGGAGTTCTTTCCACGGCGGATCTCGGTGTCGGTGAAGGGTGCCCTGCTGCTGAGTGGCACTCCGGCCATGGACCTGGACTGGGAGGCGTCGTGTCAAACCGAAGACTTGGGAATGTGCTGTGTAAATATATTTTATAGAAGCATTATCGGTAAATGATAAAAAATATGTATATCTTTATCTATATACATATAGGTATATATATCATGTTATATACAATAGCTATCTATCTATCTATCTAATCTAATCTTATCCTATCTTATCTTATCTTATCCTATCTTATCCTATCTTATCCTATCTTTTCCTATCTTATCCTATCTTATCCTATCTTATCCTATCTTATCCCATCTTATCCCATCTTATCCTATCTTATCCTATCTTATCCTATCTTATCCTATCTTATCCTATCTTATCCTATCTTATCCTATCTTATCCTAATCTTATCCTAATCTTATCCTAATCTTATCCTAATCTTATCCTAATCTTATCCTAATCTTATCCTAATCTATCTATCTATCTATCTATCTATCTATCTATCTATCTATCTATCTATCTATCTATCTAATCCTATCTATCTAATCCTATCTATCTAATCCTATCTATCTAATCCTATCTATCTAATCCTATCTATCTAATCCTATCTATCTAATCCTATCTATCTATCTATCTATCTATCTATCTATCTATCTATCTATCTATCAACCATGTATTTATTTGTTTGCTTGTTTGCTTGTTTGTTTGTTTGTTTGTTTATCTGTTTATCGTCTATCTATTCATTTAGTGTCTCGTGTGTCTACCAATTTTATTCACTCATTTGTTGGTCGCAAGTTTTTATGAGTGAATGCTAGAGCTAGGTATTCATTTTTGGCGGCTGGTTTCAGCACGTTACTTCCATTCGGGATGTCTTTAACACTGGGTCAGGAATGCTACTGGGACATGAACCGTGAAGAAGAGATGCAGGATGATCCTCAAGCGAAGCTGTGGTTGTTGATACATTTGCACAAGAAAGATGCCGAGAAAGTCAGATGGCCTGATCACCTCTTAATGGAACACCTGGAGCTGCCAGACGAGGAGGATGAGAATGAAGCGGCTGGCTACAGCTGAGTATTTTGTAGTCTTGCAATTCTAATATCTACGCATCTCCAGCCCAGACGTGCGTGGGAACTCGATGATGCAGCCACAAACATTCGGCCTTGGAAGATCAGCACCCTCAGGGGCAGTTGGAGATCGAATCTCTACCTGAAGGTTTTAGTTTACAATGGCTTGCTATAGCTTCGTGGACATGGCTCCAAAGTCTTCTAGGGAACTCTGTTCACCTGCCTGTGACATCCAAATGCCAAAGGCCAACAGAAAATGCGTGGAATGCATGCGAGACTAACTGGGCTTTGGGAACCAATATGGCATTCTGATATGGCCAAGCATGGCCAAGCACACATGCCATTTTCCAGGTCCCAACATGAGCAACCGTAATGGGACTATAAACACACGCCATTTCTGATTTGAAGGTCAATAAAAAACATCTTGCGGGCCAGGCTGGCTGGAACTTTGTGGCACAGCTGCGTTCCTGGTTGCCGGGGCCCATTGGTGGCATCCTGTGGTTCGGCGTGGATGACGCCAGTTTCTCAGTCCATGCGCCCTTCCATGGCCCCCTGGTGGCATTTGTCATTTGTTTCTTGGGAATCTGGGTCCTGAAATTGCACTGATGCATAGACCTGGGATTGAAGTGAATGGATGTCGTTTGATTACCTCTTGGCCCATGACCAAAATCATCCAAAATCCGCTTTGGTCACAGTTTGAATATCCCCGCGGGAATTCATGGGGTTGATTCTATAAGCTTTGGGGGTCCAGACTTGATCACTTTAGCAGCAGATTCCACACGTTCATAGGTTTGCGCTGACCACATCTGACCACCATTTAGCCTTGCCCCAGGTGGCAACACACGTGTGCCGCGATCCTATGCTGATGGAGTAGGAGATGCCTTGCACTACTCGCAGGACTCGGCCTTTTGGGCTTTCAACACCGTGGCAAACTTTCTGTACCCCAGGCAATGGTGGTAGGGATGCCAGAGATGTCCAGAGATGAGGTTGCAGGTCAAAATATGAGGTATAGATAGGCCCACACCCATACCAAAATGCCGGTGATCCAGAAGGTTCCACATGAATGGATCACTGCGAAGCGATTCCTCACACCCGTATGTCAACATACTGGCATGAGATGGAGTGCATATCAAATATCTACATCTATGTATTGAATTAGTATCCATATCTACATCAATTTTGAAAAAATATCTGTTATCTATCTCCACACACCCACATACACGTATACATATATAATACACACACACACCTAACTATTCAAATCTTCCTATACGACCTACATCTACATACAATATGTCTATATCTTTCTATCTCTCTATTTGCTCTATCCATCTATCTACCTGCCTATTTATCTATCTCCCCCTCTCCGTCTATCTCTCTATCTCCTATAATCTATCTATCTCTATGTCTATATCTATATGGTATACAGGCATATCACACACAGAGACACACACACACATATATATATATACACACACACTCTATATATCCAATGTCTACATCTAAATCTTTATCTGTATTCTGTATCTATCTTGTTTTCGGGCATCCCTGTGAGCCTGGTGTATGGGGCTCCGCGGCTGACCTGCCACAGGTGGTTTGCAGCGGAGGAGGTGATGGCCAGCGCCCGAAAGGCGGAGGAAACCTTTGTTCAGCAGCTGAGGGCGGAGGTGCTGTGTCGGCTGTGTTGCATGGGTGGAGGTTGTTTGGTGGAAGGAATTGGTTGCAGCTTGCATCTTTGGGATAGGCTCTCCAAAATCCTGTGGTGAAAGTAGAAAACTTCAGAACAGAACCAGGTGCCAAGAGCGCAAAAAAGAGGCCGTTTCCACTCTCTTGCTCTCCTGGGGCCCAGGAGCTTGCAGCGGGCGCCCTCTACAAAACGAACCCGGCCAAAGCGATTGAATTGTTGCCCCTTGGCAGGAAAGCATTCCTGGAAGGTGGGACCCCAAACCGCAGTGGGACCCAGTGGGATCTGAACTGAAGGTGGAGCATTCGCCAGTCATACGGCACAGGCCCTAGGCTCAAACTCATCGGACGCCTTGAAGATCAGCATTTGGCTTCATCCGGCTGCTCGGGGGGGACCCATGCCCAATCCTGAGCAGAACCAAAAAATATGTAAGTTAATATGAGTAAAAACTGTTGGGGCTAAAGTCCATTAAAGTCCAATCAATCACAAATGATTAGATAAACGCGGCACTACATGTCAGCTGGCAACCTTTTTGCTTCCAGAGTCAGTCAGGACGGCCCGTGATGCATCGAGAGCTAATCAAGTGGTAAAGGATGAGTTTGCCCTCTTTGGCCAGCTGATGGTCATATCCTCAGCTGTTGCCTTTGCCGATGCAGTCTGAAGTGGCAGCAGGTGCGCCTGTTTTGCAGTGAACAAATTGGATGCTCTCAGGTGACCCACCGAGATGGCTTCCATATCTCTTCGCTGGGGCCGCATGCGCCAAATCATGGTGGTGCTCAGGGAGGTGTTGTTCCCAAGGCCTGATATGGCCTGATCAGTGGGAATCAGGTGGCTCATGGTATTTGACGTCAGAAAGTGTTGGCACTTGCACACGGCAGAGCTCCATGACTTTACTTGATGCCTGACATGGTGCTTTGTTTGACTCAAGAATCAAGGAACGGTTCTCTGTCAAGCTGATGTCTGGTTGGGCAGAGCACCCTCCGAGAACCCCAATTTCTTGCAGCTGGAATGGTTGAATGTTGGTCGAAAGACAAGTGGCAAAGTATTTGCAAACAGTCCCCCTTGTTCTACTGTATCTTGTTCTGATATGTGTCTTTTTGACTTGCACCTAGGCCTTGAAACACTCATCTTATGCCGAGACACGTTTCCATCAGGTTGAAGAAGTGGGCTATTCTACAAAGTGGTACGACCGCATCGTTAAGGTTGGCACTTTTGAAAAACTGGGTGTGTCCTCAGGGCCCTGAAATTGATGGGTCCCCTTACTGCAGCGCAAGGACACAGGCGATCATTACAAGATGTCCACGTCTCCGACGTCTCCGCTAGATGCCGCCAAACTGCGAACACTCTCCAAAGGTGGGGAGAGTGCAGCTGCAAAATGTTCGTTATATTTCATGATGATAGACACCGAAGTTGTTGGTGGAAGTGTGCCAGTGACCAAACCAAATCTGTAGTCACACTGTAGTCAGATTCGCGTTTTGGATTTTGCATACAGGTACCTGGGTTGACTCCAGCACGCACGAGGTAATCGTCTGACCTTGAGATGTACATAGCCTGATCAGATGGCCTGAAGGTTGCCCAGCTGAGTGAGAAGACTTGACAAAACAACTGATTCCCATTGAGGGGTGTGGGGCCCTTTCTTATCTCTTGGCAGATCCTGGTACGAAAATCTCTGACTGCAGGTGCAGCGTGTCACAATGGACTTTGCATTTATATAGGGCTCTTAGAAAGCGTTGAGAACAGAATCTGAACAAAAGCTTGGGCAAGCTGTGCTACTCTACGGGTTGACCTTGACTGGACAGCAGAGGGAGCTGCTGCTTGGTTTGGGACCGCTTGTGGCCTGTTAGTGCAGAGCGACTTCCACGGAGCGATGTGATTGGCATCCTTTGAACAAAGATAGCACATGAATGTCATATGAATCATGAAGGAACGGAGGTACAACACCTCCCATAAACCACACAAGACGGATTTGTACATAGACGCATCATGACGCATCAGCTTAGTGTTTGTGTGGCTATGTTGGCGCGATGCGGGTGGAAAGCTGCGCAGTGCGCCAGCACACATGTGCGAATGCTGTCTCTAGTGACCTGGTTATATTGAAAACACAGCTGCACACAAGTGAGAAACGGTAAGACATTGGCATGGGTGCATTTCTGAAGGACACTTCCAGCACCGAGGTTTACAAATAACGACCACCTTTGGCAAGCTGCTGTGAACCGACGCAAGGCCAGCGACCACCTCTCTGTGATGTGAGGAAAGTATCATGTAAGTGGAGCTGATGTGGCAACATAGAATATAGAGAGGTTCACTTTCCAACAAATATTTCATTATTTATACAATATTATTTACAGTAATGCACCATGATATTGCCAGATGTCCTGTTTTGAAAGACACCGTATTCAATTCATCTCCGGGACGAAGTTGCGGCTGCATAAGAGTTGATCGAAGTTGTATGGAGAGCAACGGCAAAATCATCAAACGAATAGAAAGGCTGTAGATGTTCCCAGGTGTTCCCAGATTGAAGTCCCATCTTTGGCGTATTTTGGACAGTAGATTCTACAATGACAATGACAGTCCGGTGGTTCGCTTTGAGGAGGGTCGCTTGTCGGAGGACGAGGAAGTGCATAGAACTCAGAGCCATGATCCTGTGGATTTTCTCCGTTTTCTCCCGTCCGGTAGGTTATTGTTTTGTGAAGGCAAGGGAAGATTGATATTAATGCAGATGTAATGTGGATGGACATTTGTTAATGGCTTACAAGCTAGACTAGATTGGAAAACACCATTTGGAACTACAGCGTGCAGGTTGTTTTACATACGCATGCATCTGCGAGTTTTGATATGACTGAACCAAGACCTCCAAATTACTGTACGTTGTGTTTCACCTCGCAAGAGAAATCCGATTTTCAAGCAGATAGACCAACATTTGGCCTACCAAACATAGAGCTGTGCATTCCCTATATATTCCTTAATTACTGACGGCCCGCATGCCATGGCCATCCTTGGCAGCGGTTCCCCATGAAATTCCCATAGGGTGAAGCTGGCAAGGCCTCGGCTAGACAAATGCAGAGGCGCCCGGACCTTGGAGCAGGTGCTTGGGATGGAGCAAATCACGAAAGGTAGCGTCAGCATGCGTCAGCAACCTGAGTTCTCCGTGCTTCAGCACAATCATAGGGGGTATTGGGGGGCCAGCCCGTGGAAAACGTAGAATTCTCGACGTTATGTATTAGATTAGTAGATATCAATTGTAAGGGGGGGGGCCCTAAAATGGTCATGGGTTCAATTCCCACGGGTGATGCGGTCACGGTCCTCCACAGTAGAGGCACACTCTCCATGAGGGAGATGTCCCTGTAGTCCAGCATAAATGGTTTGCTCCAGCCTCAATAACAGTTGCTGCAAGGGGTCTTAAAAAGGGGTTTTAAATAAACCCCCTTTCGTGCATCATTTCACGCTGCACAAGACACCGTATCATGCAGTCATGCTCTGGATAAAATCATCTTAGACTGCGCAAAAACGTTTTTGGTGTATCATCTTAGGGGCGCAGCATTTTGACACCACTCCTCTCCCACTACACTACCTTTCGTCCGCCTCCGCCTGCTCTCAAGTAGCAACAGAGTGGTGAACCTGCAGTTCATTTGGTTTTTTTCCCCATGAAGATCCGAATATAGATCCGAATCTCCGAGTTAGATGGTTTGTTTAGGCTTGGCGGCTTGTCTGTTTTGCAGGGGCCAGTGGAATAACAGAATAACCTTCATGATCTTCATGTGAGCAGGCATTCATTTGTGGTTCTGCCGATGCTTTGTCAGCTTCAAGGGGGTGAAACTCATGAGGAAAGAAGCGTGGAGGGGCCGGGGAATGGATGTCGTGGCGGATGAATTGACCGTGACTGTCGGCGAGGGCCGGAAGCTGTTGGATCATGTTGCTGCGAGTTTTGCATAGGAAACTTTGGTGTTTTTCCGCCAACAATTCGTCATTCAGACATTCATCACTTATTCATTTCCATCCCTGAAAGTTTTATTCCAATGGATTTGTGTTTTTTCACTTTTTTTTGGATCAACAGACCTGAGCCTCAGCCATTTTCACAGTGCTTTTGATTCCAACGCCAACCTTTCGGAATGGCGGGTCGGCTTTTCCAAGTTCACCCAGGTGAGCTGTTCTATCGATGCCACCGAGATGGTGGCTTTAATGGGGCCCTCAGGGGCTGGGAAAACCACGCTGCTGAATTGCATGGTGGGGAGAAGCGCGGGTGGCGTCATGCAAGGCGCCATCACCTACAATGCGCAGCAGCTTTCGAAAGTTCGCGCAAACATTGGCTACGTGACACAGGAGAGTTTGGGATTTTGTATGATAGACAGGATGGACATATTTAGACAGGGTTTGACACTGGCGGAGCGATGGTACAGTAGACTGATTTTTCTCGATTCTTTTTTGAATTATCTTGGCGCAGCCCTGCTCAGGAGGACATCATGTATGAGACCCTAACACCGCGGGAAAACCTGACATTCGCAGCTGCCTTCATTTTGCCCAAGGTCTCCAAGGAAAACCGCAGCAAGGAGGTGGATGAAGAAATATATAGGATAATGCAATTTTTGTGTTGGCATATCCATTTGGCATCGCATGCTCGTCATGTAAACCACCTTTCAAGGGTGGGAATTCAGGGCTGGGTTGTAAAAACCAGGCTCGATATTTCAATTGTCCGCAAATAGATGGGGTGAGAATCCGCCTGTCCAAATATTGGCAGGAGGCAAACCACTCCCTAAAAAAAATATTGATAGATAGATAGATGGATGGATGGATGGATGGATAGATAGATAAAGAGAGAGAGAGAGAGAGAGAGGGAGAGAGAGAGAGAGAGAGAAGCAGGGGGTGCGATCCACTCGACCTGCAAAGGTGGAAAACGTCATCGAAAAGCTGAATCTCACGAAGTGTGCGAACACGGTGGTTGGGTCGCCCGGCCTTGTACGTGGCATCTCAGGAGGTGAGCGGAAACGCACCAACGTGGCCCTGTCGTTGTTGGGGAACCCCTCACTGCTGCTGTTGGATGAACCCACCAGCGGCTTGGACTCCAAGATGTCTGACTCCTTGATGAGAGATGTGAAGCACATCACCGAGCAAGGTTGCACCGTGGTTGCTACCATCCACCAACCTTCCGAAGCAGTGTTCATGCGCTTTGACAAGGTTTTGCTGTTGGAGACAGGTAGGGTTGCCTACTATGGTTTCATCTCCAACCTGCGGGCCTCTCTTAATGGCCTGGGATTTTCTTGTCCTGCAGGGGTCCCATTGCCTGAGTTGCTCCTAGATATTTTGGAGCCGCCTGGAGAAGCGGCTCAAGCTGCAGCTCACCGAGACAGATTGAGAAAGCTGAAGCAGTTCTCGCATGCAGAAAGTGCGATGAAGGGTTCATCCGAGCCAGCCATTGATAGCACCAAAGCAACGGACAGCCGAGCCAATTTCTGCACGCAACTTGTGGTGCTTCTGAGGAGGGAGATGGTGAATGTGAAACGAAACAAGGCCCTTACAGTCGTTCGCACTGTCCAAACAGTGGCGTCCTCACTTCTGATCGGCTTGATCTTCCTGCAGATAGAGCGCAACATGTCAGGCCTTCAGCCGCGCTTGTTCTCGAGTTTCCTGCTGGTATTTGCGCAGTTCCTCTTTGCCTTGTTGGGGGTCGTCAATGCATTCCCGGCAGAGCGGGCAGTGTTCCTGCGCGAGACGCAGGACAAGCTCTACCATCCAGCTGCTTTCTACCTGGCGAAAGTCTTGGTCGATACGCTGATGCAAAGCTTTTTCCCTCTCTTGGTGCTGGCCATCAGCTACCCACTCATCGGCTTGAACGGAGAATCAGCTGATCGGGTCCTGTGGTTCTATGCCATCATGGCCGTCAGCTCGAATTGCGGTGCTGCGGTGGGCTTCATGGTCTCAGCAGCCGTGCCCAGTGTGAACCTGGCCCTGTCCATTGCACCGGGGCTGGTGATGCCACAGCTGCTGCTGGCTGGCATCTTCATCAAGGTTGGAGCCTGCTGCCACCTGGGTCTGTCATGCAACAGATTTTCACCCACAAGGGAAGAAGTAAGGCTGTATATAATTATGTAATGACCCTGATTGGACATCAAGGTCGGAACACTGCAAAAAAGATGTCACGGATGTTAGATGTTTAACATTTGTTTAACTCTTGGTCACCGTTTGAGGTTCTGGAGCCTGCCCAGCCACATCACTAGTAAAGGGCCCAAACATGATCACCAGCAGGATGCAGGTGTTACTTGAATCTGTATCATCCCCTTGCTACAGGTAGAAGACCTGCCACAGCCTTTCAATGCCCTCAGCTATTTGATGGTCGCACGATACGCGGTGCAAGCAACAGTGGTGAATGAGTTGCTTGGTTTTCGGGGAGGAGTTCGCAACAAACTTCCCCCACAGCTTCAGCCTACCCCAGCCATGGCACTAATTTGGGACACGATCTGCTCGCGCTCCAAGGTTCAACTGCGTTGCGAAGGATGATTGCCTGCCTCAGGCTGGGCGCGCATGGTTGGCATTTATACATCTTTTGGAATCATCAAGTGAGGCAGTGTGCAACATGTGAAAGGCAACACCATGTTGAAATTACCGTTCATTTTTCCTAGCCTGGCCCTCCACAGTGCAGGGTGTTTGTGTACCATCTTCAGGTATGGAGGAACAGTTCGGCAGATCTTTGCGACCAATCCCCTTGCGATTTCTGCTGCACCAGCCACGAGATGATGGCGGCAGGTGGGTGCAACCTCAGCCCTCAGCAATTTCTTGCATAGGATCCATTTGGTCCAGTACTTTCAGCAGACAAACCAGGTCAGCCACCGAGGAACCCATGGTGGTTTGATTTCTTTTAAGGTTCTTTTGGGACCCACAGCGGCTCCAAACAGGTGGACTCTGTCCTGTGCTGTCCTGTGAAGATGCTCTGGCATTTCTGGGCATGGACCAGATTTGGCCCATGGGAGGAAGCCATGAGGAGATCTGAGACATTTCTCATCCCATGTTTGGACCAAATCCATGGTCTGTTGAGCTTCCTATTCTGGGTTTCTGCGAGGAATCAATTGGTCAGAGTCCCAAGTTTGAGTCGCAGCGAGCAGCTTTAAACTTCATGATTCACACAGTGACACAGTGACAGTACTTATCGGGTGCCTGCCTGTCGGATATCCACTTCAGAAACAATTGGTACCCGGTACCCCCCCCACGCTTCCGGTGAGAATCCATTCAAATCCTTCCATGCTGATATGCCGGTTCTGTTGGAGATTTTGTACGTTTTGGTGAAAGAACAATCATGAATACACCATGCTTGGTCTTTTCACGAAAGCTAGCGTCAGCTAGCTGGAGTCTTCTTGCTTTAGCAAGTATTCCGGGGGCTGCTCAAGGACATCACGTGATTTTTCACGCGAAAGGGGGGGACCCCCCCCCCTTGTTTTTGTTTCGACCTAATACCTACATAGGTACATGCATGAGTATTGAGCACATTTATATGCGCCTTCAAGGCTCAAAGAAAGAGGTATATAGAGTAACCCTGTAGACAAGCACAGACCGGCAACAGGCTGAGTAAAACAAGTGCTGTCATTGGGGAAGACGCCTTAGCTGATCTTGAAGTAGACGCTAGGGCCCCTCTTCAAGTGGTAGCGGAGCTGTGATCCCTCATTGAGGGTGAGCTCCAGGTAGAGCCCAAGAAATGGCAAGCCATGGCTATGATGATGATGACTTCGACATTGTCGATGCAAATGAATGGAACCAATATGACTCTTATGCAATGAGAAGAGCACCCCAGCAAACACAGATTCATATGACGCAACAGATGACCACAAAGGTTGCTCCAGCCTATGATGGGCGAACCAGCTTCTTTGCTTTTGAGGATGCAATTGATGACTGGTGTGACATTACGGAGTTAGAACCAGAGAAACGTGGTCCAGCATTGCGCAACAGACTGGAAGGAGATGCTCAACAATACAAGAGGCTATTGGATAGAGAATTACTCAGGGATCCCTATGAAGGAGTGGCTTATTTCAAAAGATTTCTACGACCTCATTTCATCAAAGGTGCCCAGAACGTGTTCTTATACCGTTTCATGCAGTTCATGAAGTTCAACAGAGGAACCATGGATCTTCAGAAGTGGATGACTAGATTTCAACTCACTGGCAATAGACTTATTGAGTCTTGGATGGATTTACTTCCAGAAGTAACAGTGACTAGTCCTGAAGCAATCCTGTTTGTTCAACAACGACGTCAAGAACATGAACGAGATCAACAAGAGAGAGCTGAAGTAGCAGCAGCCTCAGGAACACCCCATGTACCTGTTCCTTGGTCAGATGAACCGGCACTAGCGGCATTCAGACAATTTCAGGAAAATCGTAGACAAGTACAGCGACAAGCATTCCCACTGGGTGAAAATCTGCTAGCATTGATTTTTGTAAGTCTAGCTGACCTGAGTCAAGATCAGAGAAATACACTCACAAGTATCATGACACATCGTGGACGAACCCTCGATCAATATAACATTCAAGAACTACGTGAACTGTTTTTGGAAATGTTTTGCACTACCAAAACAGCAGTTGACAATCCATTGATGCAACCCTCTGGCATGGCACAGAGAAGATCTTTCCTCGTACTGGATGAAGGTGAATTAGAAGGAACCGACGGCTATTGGGCCGAAGATGAAGAAGACGGCGCAGAAGGATTCCTGGATGCTTTAGAAGATGTTTTCTGGGTTTATGATGACGCCAACTTCACATGGTATCAGAGAAGGTTCCAAGGCAAATACATCAGACGAGGCAAAGGTAAAGGAAAGAGAAAAGGAAAAGGAAAAGGCAGAGGAGGACGAAGATTCTTCAGATCAAGAAAAGGAAAAGGCCGAGGAAAAGGAAGAAAGAAAGGCCGCTCTCACATGGTGAGTGAAGAAGGTTATGAAGATGAATGGCAAGATGATGAATGGAATGAAAACTATGACGGCTATTGGGCCGATGATCAAACCTGGAATGAAGGCTATTGGGCCTATGATGATTCATACTACATGGATGAGTATGGATACTTCCAGAGGAAAGGAAAAGGAAAAGGAAAAGGAAAGAAAGGCAAGAAAGGCAAGGATGATGATGGAAAAGGAGGAAAGCCAGGAGATGGAAAAGGCAAGTCGAACTATGTTCAACCTCAGACCACATCAGCTCCTGCCATACAGAATCAACAAACTCAACAAGCTCATTATTCTTCTGCAGCTTCAAGTTCTGGTCATGGTTTCTTTTCATTTGGAACAACTGAACCAGCACGTGTTGATGTTGCAGAGACAGAGCCAGCTCGTGTTGATGTTTTGACATCCACGTATTCAGCACAAGATGAACAACGACGCACTCGTCGTGGAGGACAGAACCAACGTGATGCAAGAGCACATCAAAACAGGAGAGAAATGAAGAGATTCCCTGTTCTGGTTGGAGAAGTTGATGCACTACGACAAGGTGTACGACAACGTCCAGCTGTAGTGCCCAGGCAAGTTGGTCTTCAAGAAGGTGAGGCTTCATGGAAGCCATTGGCAGAAGGCACATCATTGTTTTCATATGGATGCTCTACAGAGATAGAGGAACCATCACAGCAGAGTGCTTTTTCATTTCATACTGTACAAACTGATCTGGCATGTGAGAATGGACTAGCTTTTCACACAGAGAATTCTGCACCACCAACTGTGTGTATTCTGGATCTTGGATGCACAAGAGCTATGGGCTCTCGACGAGCAGTTGAAGCATTTTGCAGATATGTTGACTCACATCCCAACAGTGGACTCTGGTATGAAATTCAGCCAACAAGTTCAAGATTTTTCTTTGCAAACTCACAACAATCAAAATGTACTGAGAAGCTCGTGATATTCATGTATGATCATGGATGGAACACTCAGTTTACAGAATTCGACATTGTCGAAGAAGGTGATGTCCCATTGTTGATGTCACTTCCACAGATGAGAAACCTTGGATTTCAATTTGAACTTACTCCAGAGAAGGCTTATTTGTCCTGTGCACGTATTGGCATGAGAAAAATGGTTTTGAGGACAGCCATCAGTACTCATCTCATTCTCGACCTACAAGATGTAGCATGGTACATGAGCCAAGTTCATTTCAAGACTCCACAAGTCAAAAGTTTCTATTCACAACACGATCACTTTGAGTACAGTCAGATTGCTGTCAAACAAGATGATCATGAAGGAGAAGCTTTGGTGACTGGTGACTACTGGCAGGTTGATCCACTACGTCGTGAACTCATCAGGCACCACAAGGACAAGAGAATGAACTTACATGAGATGACTCGATCAGAGAAAACTCCAATTCCAAAAGATCAACTTCTTGATGAGAGAGAAACCCACATTGAATTCCAGAAGAGCAAGAAGAAGGTTCTTCACAAGGACAACTGGCGCACTGAGAAGAAGAGGTTTTCTGAACAGAGTGAAGAGTTCTGGAAGGGCAAGACCATCTACAAGATCAAGGAGGACTACGTGATCCCAGATGACATTGTCAGAAGTGACATTGATCGTGCAAAGCCCTTTCGTGGAAACATTGATGATCTTTTTCACCCTGAGTCAGCCTCTTCAGTGCCATCAGGTGTACAGAAGAAGAAGCCAAGCTCCTTAAAGAAGGAGGAAGGCAAACCGATTTCAAATGGACCAGGCTCGAAAAAGATTGAGGTAGGTCCACCTGCAGCCAAAAGACACGTAGGTAAGCAGAAACCTCAGGTTGTCGATGACTCTCAATCAGGTTCATCAAGAAAGAAGGTTGTTGTCTCCTATCCCAAGCTTGATGAGGAAGATGAACTGGACATAAGAGCTAGGGAATTAGGTTTGGACAAGATTGATTCAGATGAACCTCAAGTCATTGAACCAAAACATTCTGCACCTGCGCGCAACCGTGGTAAGCAAGATTCAGAAAGTCAAGTTGAGAAACTAGGTAGTGATGCTCTTGAGCCTAGGCGAGTTTCGATTCCACTGCCTGGTAGTGAAGTGCAAGCCATGACACCAGCATACAGAAAGATGCTCAGGAAACTGGAGGATAGTGTGGAACTTTACAAGCTTCACATTAAACACTATCACATGTCTCCTACTCAATTCAGACGAAGGACTTCCATGTTAGGACTTCCTGACTCTGTTTATCAGAAGTATGAGGAGATGTACAACAAGTGTCGTGTGTGTAGTACTTCAATTGCACCACCGCCGCGAGCCAGAATTTCAGGCATACGATCCACCAACTTTGGAGATGTTATCTTTGTTGATCATGCTGAAATTCAGTTGAGGAAGAACAAGTACATGGTGTTGCTTGTTCTTGATGGTGCAACCAACTTACTTTGGGCTACGGCACAAAACTCACTGAACAACAAGGAGACCATTCAGGCTCTAAGGTTGTGGAGTGATGAACACAATTGTATGCCTAAAGCCATCGTAGGTGATGAAGCTTTCTTTCAAGAAGACTTTCTGACTTATTACCGAACTCATGGTATCAAGGAATGTCCCTGTGGTTCAAGAACCCCATGGCCTAACAGAGCTGAATCAGCTGTTAGACTTTTCAAACGACAATGGCAAATCATGTCCAAGAACCTTGAAGATGATAGGTTCAGAGGAATTACTATCAGAGAAGCTGTGAAGCGTACTGTTTGGGCCAGGAACACTCAACTCACTGTTAGTGGTTATTCTCCTTTGGAAATTGCCACTGGTAGAAGACCACCAGATCTTCTGGACATTGAGACTTCTGATCCTGCTCAACTTAGTGTTGATCCTTTACCTGAAGACAGAACACAACTCGAGTTGCAAAGGTTAGCACTGAGGGCACATCAGGAAGCCAGACAAGCTGCTGACCTCAGACATGACATGGCCAAACGAACAATGCCATCAGATGGACCTTACAAACCAGGTGACAAGGTTTTCGTTTGGAGTTCCCCTGTCAATGCTAATGCTATTGCTTCAAAGGCATGGAAGAAGGAAAGATGGATCAGAGGTACTGTTATCTCTCA